CGCAACAGCTCAACAATGCAGTTGTCGTCTACTCCCAACAATACACTCTAGTTCACGGTCAGATTTGATGATTTTACTGCTGTAGTCAGACATGTTGGCGACACAAATTGCTATCGCACACACACATGCATGCATAGTATATAATCGTGCACACGTTCATGAAAGATATTTCTACAATAGTTGCTGCCGGCAGTTTACACACCAATATCATACTTTTCGGAACGTTTGAGATAAATTGAAAAATGCTTGCGCGTACTCAAAGCATAAATATATATATACATATACACATACATGTAAGTATATTCATATATATGCACAAACATTCAAATGTCTACATAAATTGTATTTATGTGTGAACATTAGGCAGAAGAAGGTGTAACCGATTCATCTCGACGATTGTTTTGTTGTTGATTTTTTGGAGTGGTTATTCAAATGCCAATTAGACACTAATGGACATCTTGCAGTGTGACTCTAGTTGTGTCACCATTGGCACTTGAGCCTTAATAGATTTTGGCACAAAAGAAGCAATTGGCTTCGCGTGACAAAATTGTTCAAAAACACACGTTTTAACGATCAGATAAAATTAAATTGCTTCGTAGTAAATTTGACTTCGAATTCTCAAAAATGTCGACAAATGACAGCCCAGTTGACATATTCATTCGTATCGTATATTCGTGTATTGTGCGTCGTCTTTGTTATCTGACTATCGCCTCGTACCGAGTAGTACTTAAATATTTGTGGCGTTGTGTGCTTGTATTGCTTAACAGACGCACCTCATAGTCATTGAAAACTGTATGATTGAAGAAGCTATTGGGAATAAGGTTGAGTCTCTTCGGATTAGCTTTAATTATTCCTTTTTCTTATTCCTCCTTCTCTTCTTGTACCACTTCTTACATTCAACTTCTTTTTCTTAATAAGTATGTCTGCACAACACCATAAATCTTCCGCACAGCTATCTTTCCAAAACAACCTATGCCTACTCATCCGATTTTTATCGTTCTCGCTTCTGCATCATACTGCTGGACCGATGATTCTCCAGGTTGGACCTCATTTGTCAAGAGAAAACTCTTTTTTTCAATTGCCTGCACAGTATAAAGTTAAATTGAATTTCGGGGCTAAAATTATTGTTGTTTCTGGTTCCTAGTTCGATGAATTTATCTACAACTTCAAAGTTATGGAGGTCAACAGTGGCATATGTATGTAGGTGCCAAGACGCAAGTGCGACAGTTATTTCGTATTACCCTCGTTCACTGCCACATACACACGCTTGGCTACTTTGTCCAGACTAAATAAGATAGAACCGATTAAGCATTTGTTGAGGCCAATGATATTAACATCAGATACGACCCCCAGAAAGGATTGAACAAGCCACTACAACAACGGCAACAGCGATTGTGTGCAATTATAGAAAATTACAGTACTACTTATAAGCACTACCCCGCGTATTAATATCGCCAGCACTAGTCTCAAAAAGTCACATGCTACTGAGTGATCTTCTCGATTATCTCTTCTAAGATAGATGGATGAGGTTCAAGTCTAATTTGATAAGATCTGATCAGTTTTTTCACGGCCTATGCCCAATTCTTTAAAAAGGATAGGAACTGATCCCTTCATAATTGGGTACTCGCCCAATGAACTCGGTACACTCTGAACATCAGTCACCAAATTACTTCTGCGTAGCGTTGCAAGATTTGCAGTCGGTTTTCTCTCCACAGCGATACGATAATCCTCATCGTATCAGCTTTTCTTTTAGCGTTTACGAAAGCCAATAAATAGTTTTAGTGGATTATGTACGTAGACAGTCTCATTTCTTGCTGAAATCTCGAATATTTCTTCTGTTGGCTGGCTCCTTAAGTTCTTCCTGTGCTTGCTGCACCCTTCAAATCTTTCCCGAGTTTATAACAGTAAGTACCATCCTATTCCTTATCATATAAATCTTTTTTTTATTATTTAAAAAAGTTAGATTAGTCATTTTTAATGTGCACTACTGTAACCCTTTCCCAGCTACTTTACCAATCCCAGTTAAATTCACCACCGGGTTGGAGGGAACTGTAAGCATATATAAACATGTAAGTAAGAAACTTCATGATTCGAATTTACCAATTTTTATAAATATCATCTTGTACTCCGCTCGTAATTAACCGTTGTTATGTGCGTCTCGAATTCATAATAAATGGTCGATTTAAATAGCTTCAAGTGACAATAAGTAGTGCCAAGCACGTGTGAGCACTTATAATTTTCGCTGAACTTGAACAAAATACTCGTATATATCCGCCTTAATATTAAGGCAATAGTTAAAGTAAATATAAATGTAAACAAAAGCGACTTACGAAAAGAGTTTAACTTTAATATTTATTCAAAAATCAAAAAAAAATACATTTTATGAAAAGAAACAATTTTTTACAATTCATAATTTTAGTAATTTGTAAACAAATATTGTAGTATTCGGAAATTTTCTGATTATGTAATATTATTTAATAGAATACGATGCCTATAAATTTTGAATTTACATTAATGGATATTTTTTTATTTGTTATTATAACTTGAAAGTTCAATCAACCTTCTCCATTGAATATTAGGATGGAACGTAGAATTTAATTTTTTTTTTTTTTTTTTTTTTTTTTTTTTTTTTTTGAAGAAAACCTACGATAAGTATAAGTAACTAGGGTGCTTCGAGAAACTCAGTTTCCAAGACTCAGCTTTTATGGAAATGTTATTCAAAAATTTATGTAATCCAGAAAATATATTTTAATAATTTTGACGAAACCAAAAATAATGCCCAACCTTCATTCAAAAATAAATAAATTCACTTCCATAAATGAACTCATCATCTTCTAGTCATTCAAACTGAATTCCATGAATTTTTCCGTTGAATGACATAAAGATATTAACATATATTTAGCACATTAAATATTTGTTCAAAAAAAATTGTTTGCACATACCTACATATATATTTCAAGGTGTTGACCGTTTCAATTACTTAGTTATTATGAATGAAAATGTTTGTTGAATAAAACAAACTGGTTTTTCAAAGATTATTGAAATCATCATCACCTTCTTTGCATGAATAAATACATATATGCATATAATATGTATGTGCGAGTATATATTTATTAATAAAAGTATTCATAAATAGTTAAAAAGAACACATCTGCCTTTAAACTAAATATATCTGAATCGGCTAAATAAATTTATCATTTCCAAAATATCCCTAAGGCAAGATCGTAGAGATCATATGCAAGAGTACCGAAGGAAAGCACGCATGTTTTTTTACTCCCTGCGGGTTAGGGCTCAAGAATTTACCCGCGGCAAGGCATGCCTGTCGTAAGAGGCGACTAAAATCCAATAGGCGACAGTCGAAACGACCCGGATTTTTATCCGGCCAAGGACTGTCACTCCCGCAACATTCCAAAAAAGTACTTTGGGGAATAATTTTGCGGTTTCAACAACAACTACAACGCTTTTTTTTTTGGTCACGAGATCTCGTAAGCAGTGCAGAACGGTGATACGATGACACATGCAGGAAGTACTGGAAATCCTCCACTGATTCCGTCCAGCCTCATCTAGCGCTTTATCTTAGATATCTAGTATTTTCGCTGTTCAAAGGACTAGATGAAGTATCAAATTAAGATATCATGACCCTGTTAAACTTCGGAAAAAGCGTTGACGTTCAACATGACGATTACTTCAGCTCTATAAATGACGTGACAGTCAGATATTAGTCTATAAAATTGGTTATTGAACAAGAAGAGAAGAGAATCGATGCAGAAGTGGCATTAGCATATTTCCAGATTAAGAGAATACTATCCCATAGCAAGAATTTGTACTGTCATCATGGGGCAGCTCAGAAAACAACGTGAGTTTCTCTTAGAATACTCAATATGTACTGACCTGTCAGCGTTGAATATAGAATGCGTACAAACATACGTAACACTTGATCCAGAAATTGTATAACAGATCACAGTTTATAAAAATTTCATCTAAGAATATCCATTAAGATTAAGACCACAATTAGAAATATTGGAAAACAAATTGGTTAAAATAAAGCTACTATGGTTATGTTATAACTTGAATAGCACTCAAGAACTGGGGTATAAGGTAGAAGAGAAAAGTAAAGCATAAAGAAAAAACTTCAGAAAGCTTTGCAAAACCATATCCTACATTCCTGTGCACAAAGGCACAATGGAGAGTGAGATGGTTGAAGAAGGACCCTTTTTATTGCTCAGAATCCACTTCCCAGGTGCAATACCAATAACAAATCCCGAAAATACACAAAAGCTCGTATCCAAGAATGACTGGAAGCATAAATAAATTGCCATCTGATTGAACATTGGAACATTTTGAAAGAATTTAATCACCAGGTATAGGATGATATATGGCCAGTGCTCTTAGAAAAGCTAAAACAATCCATTCGAATATAGATATTATGGATTGAGTGAAAATCTAGCTTTTGCCATATCAAAAAAATCCAGAGCAAATGATTTCACAATAAAAAAAAAACCATACTGAGAACACATTCACTGTGTCAGGCCTAGCATGCATAAGGATAGAGCAGATAAAAAACTTTCCGTTATTTTAGAGAAATAAGAGAATTAATAAAAGTTGGTATCAAGAAAGATGACGGACATAAAATTGTGCTCGATTTTGGTGTTTTTGTTTTTAAAATAACGGAATGTATTGTACTACAAGATTGTTGATTTTTGTTGTACGAGCAACGACCAAATTTAATTTATTTTTATTCTTGCACACGGCAAGTTTCTTATGATCTTGATTTTAAACAAATATTTATGGCATTGCAAATGATTTCGGTTTTTCCACGAGTCATCAATACTAACACGCAAATTATTGTAACTATAAAAATACCAACAAGTCCATGGTATTCTATAACTATTTTCGAATTTCTAATATTTGAATTTCTCATTTCTATCGACACAGAATTTCATAATTAGCATAATTTTTATTTCTATCTATTCTTAACTGCAGTATTATTTTATCTGCTTTCTTCATTTCATTTACAAATGGGCACACCTCTAGTTAAAGGAATTAATTCTAAAGAGTTTGTATTCGGGGATATTCCCTTTATAATATGTATGTATGTATGTATAGCTGCTAGTTGCTAGTTGCTGTGACTGTTTTCCAAAGTTGTAAATATATTAAAATCGTCTCGGGGCTCTGGCTCATAGCGACATTTCGCTTTCGCATTCATTAATTTAGTGACTTCGCCAAACACCTGCACTAACTCAATTTGAACCCAATAGAGGCCACGAGCGAAGTATAACGGTATCGCTTCCATTCTAACCGTGCCATTCTCTACGTAGTAAAAGCCGCGTGTAAATGGACAAGAATTGATGAATGTGCTTTGTATTAGGGTTTCGTTTTTGAATTCATCATTTGTAAAATTGCGCATCAATTCGATGATTTTGCAAAAGTCTAAGTTTTTATGTTTGAATATATTAACCGACTGCTCACCCATATTCGTGGGTATTTTGCGTATAAATACATTGAAGAGTATCTTGCCCGGAAAAGATTGCAGCGCTGAGATGTTGTAATAAATGCCAATACCATTTTCAACACGATAGGAAATATGCAAAGCGTTTGGTACAAAAGATTGCGAGTAAAAACTTTCAAATTGCAGGAAAGTCTGAAAGAAAGTACAAAACGCATGAGACTTTTAAAAAATATTATTAAAAATTCTCAATATAATCTAAAGGGAATAGTGACTTACCGCTTCAACGTTTGAATTCTTGGTAGTCCAAGAGCTTGTTGTAGCCAACAAAATTAGCGCATTAAGCCACATGTTTTACTAGTTAAAGCACTCATACTTTTATAAAAATATTTACAAGTCTTGGTCTCACAAGAGATATTTGCAAAGGAATGCACTCTGCTTCTTCAGGCCAACTCAGGCACAGTTTCTGTGAAAATACTAAAAAACTATGTTTTTTTTTTTTATTTTATTTGAATGCATAAAATTTTATTTTACTTTACTTTATTTCCTTTAATTTTATTCTTTTCTCTTTTATTCTATTTTAATTTATTTTATTCTATTTTACTTTTATGCGGTACTCCTCTCGATTTGTCTTCGTTGCACACTGATTATTTTTTATCGTGTTTCTGCCATTGCTTTTCCACTATATAAAACATTTATTGATTGCGTCATAATGAGGAATTCAATCGTGTTTATTGTCAATATTCAGAAACAATGATAATTTTTAATTTTTTAATGATTTAATATCACTCATGGCTGATTGACTTTACCAATTTTTAATTGTGATGTTTACTGAGTTATTGAGATGTGGATATGCTTTTCGTAATTTTTGGATAAGTTCCCTGTAGTGTTCATATATTATATGCCTGAATTAGACAAGTCTTTATAAATTGGGACCGGAAACTTTTGATTGTTATAAAAAAAACATGGTGAAGTACAATAGTAAGGAAGACATGAAGAGATGTAATTCAAAATCAAGAATCATTAGATAACCAAAATTTTAAAAAATATTGGGAAAGTGGCATAGAGTAGTAATAAAATAGATCAATCTGATTTTAAAGTTATTAAGAAGTTGTCTCTTAAACTCGACCAAGAAAAAAATATTCGGAATAAGGTGAAGTGTCATATTACGGCAAGATATAATAAAATACATTCAATCCTGGAACTCAATAAAGGCTGACTGTCTGTAAGAGCAAAGTTCTTGAGATTTAGGAAAGATGTGAAAAAATTCCTTTAAAGGTACAACTCCTTCGGATCCTCAAATCGGAAGGTAATGGAATCGAACTTCAGTACTTCCCTCCTGTTTTTATTTTCACGCTTCAGCAAACGACTGATTTATTGTAATATTCATTTATTTTAGTAATGATCAAAAAAGGTGTGAAATATCCTAACCAACCGAAACGTTGATCGTCATATTAACGACTTATAGAAAAACCTTTTTGAAAATTTACTTCATTAACATATACAAAAATGCAACTGAAAATCAATCAAAAAAATTCCAAATTTACTTATTTATTTCCGTAAAATGATTCAAAAACACAGAATTAAGGCACAATCAACGATAGTTTATGTGCAAAAACAAATAAACTACATTTTCTATTGCACGGAAACTAAATTTTTTAGCACATTTAATAAGAAACATATATATTACGCAGCAAAATGTTAAATAAAAAAAATCAGTTGAAACCATATTTTTTAAACACACTCTTCAGAAAGCTATCAAAATCGATTATTATTTATACAAATTGACAAAGGTGAACAATAAGGCGCAAATAAAATCTGCATAGGCACACAATCACATACATACTCCTACTCGTAGATGCCGACTAGTCTTACTCGAATTGCCTGCAAGTCCATTAGCTAGTTTTACAGTTGAGAATCGCATGATTGCACTTGGCCAACATCAGTCACTTAATAAAAAGAAAAGTTCGAAAAGAACAACGCATAAAGCAATATACATACGTCAATGCTTATATACGAGTATATATTATATATGTATCTATGAATTGCCAAAGCTAACGTACTTTGCTTATGTACATAGATTTATAGAATTATCTTAACCAAACTAACACCTCTAATTGTATTAGTGATTTTTAGTCAATAAATGGAATAAATCTTATGGCATTATGTAAATATATTTGGCATTTTTTATTTCAAATTGTATAGGTATGTACATACATATTATACTATATGTCTGAGTATTCCTTCGGCACTTAACAAACTAAGTTAGTTTATATCAATTTATTTTTTCTCAATATTTTTTTATTTATTTACTTTAAATGCGAGCTAAGTAACTTTTGCTTTTCAAAGTCTTACTCACTACCTGATTCAGCATGATGTATTCAGATACATGCATACATACATACATATGTATATAAAAATAAGTGTACGTTTTTAGGTGTTACCTTATAACTTGAATATGGTTTTGTGTTTTCCCTATGTGGGAAAAAATGAAAAAAGATACCGATAACTGCAGCATTTTCCAGAGCTGTATACGAGCGATCGGTGATCGGTCTGAGCGTCCCTCAGATATTTGATGTCTGTTATTTAACAACAAAGTGATCGAGCTCGAAGGATTTGCGAAATTAATCGGGCACATTTGGCGAAAATCATTGCAATAGTTAAATTAATAATTCAGCATAGTTACCACTTGTTTTGAAATTATTTATATATAAAGATATTCTATATGTGGGTCTATGACTGAAGAGAAGGATCTGGTGGTGAATGAGTACGGATTTTGGTCCCTGATCCCGGTCATTACATTAAAATAGTAAACATTGAATCTTGAAGTCCAAAGGGCCATCACATCATCAGCAATTTTTTAAGCAGGTGTTACTTAGGGAAAAGTAAAGTCCTCTCTCCACAAAGAATGAACTAGATCATCATTACCATCCTACTAACTGGTTCAGAAGCGTGTTGATGGAGCAATCAGCTGCACGAGATATGCGATGACATTGTGTTCTGTCATTCGAAAAGCCAGGGTACAAGTAATGCTCCGAAAGACATCCAAAGAATGTAGAGAATTATTTAAAGTAAATAGTAATAATATAATAATTAACTTTTCCAACTGTGTCAACCCCTCGGCAGGGAATGTCAACCTCTCCGAGTGTATTTCTGATATGAAACTACTACAACTTTGAAAATATTCGATGCAGAACTCATTGGACGAAGCAAAAAAAACCTCTCTCAAGTGGTGAATGACTTGACTACCCTTGCTGTTTTCAATTCACACTGAACTGCGAAAAGAAGAAGCGATTAGACGCTACTGTGGATTCGACTTTCGGTGTCTGGGTCAGTTGAGAAGAGGAAAAGCTATTTTATCATAGATGGGTGTGCGCTAAAAGAGAAGTTAATAACATAACATAAATAAGCTCAACTTAGGAAATTTTGCTATTCGGGTCAAAATGCTGTGAATTTAAGGTCTAACATTTCTGGCAGTTGAGACTTTATAAAAATAGCCAAACAGTCCTTAAGAAAGTCTTGAAATTACAAAGGCAAGTATTTTGCAGTCAATTTTACAACAGGTGAAGACGCCGTCTATTTTTATTGTTTTAATTAATTTAATTTCAATGCGCTCACATACGTGCACTTCTGTATTTCACTAGAAACTGATATGCCTTTCAGCCAATTCACTTCTTTTTCTTTTTTAATATTGAAGTGAAATTACATTGTATTGTGAAAACCCGATATGAAGGGCGCGGCGGCGAGTCATCATCCCAAGTGTTTATACGTTGTTGACCGATTGACCAAAATTCATTATGCTTCTTGAGCGATCGTCGCAACATTATGTGTCACACATACAAATGATCGTTTAAAAACTTGTACTTGCTCGTAATTGAACTGCTTTGGATAAAACCATGTACTCGTATATACGAGTATGTATGTTTGTACAGTGCATGAACGTCTCATCCAGACATGTGAATTTGTAAATAAGCATACATAAATTTATTAAACTCTATGTATGCGTGTACGAGTCTGTAGCATCCATGTTGTGGGTCTGGTTTTGCACTTCTTGTTAACACTTCGGCTTTTGTTTACATCACTTTTTTTAACAGTCAAAGGCATTTAACAGTATACGAGTATATGTATTAATATGTAAAGCGTACGCATTTGGGTGGAGTGCAATTTTTTCTGTGTTCTTTTTTTTCTTTTTTATTTTGGGCTTGCATTTGTTTATTTTATCAGCAGTTTGGTACTAATCGCTTTAATATTTTCCACTTTTGTTTTTAACGACAATTTAATTTTATGTATTTTTGGTTTTGTTTTTGGTCGGTCATCAATATCGTCCATCGAAATGTTCGATGGTGTAACTGTTTTACACATTTATACGAATGTACATACATATGTATATATATATGTATTTTAGGTAGTTGTACTATTTTGGTATAGCAAGTAATATGTAGTTGGCGGTCATTAACGATTTCCTTTCTGTAATGTCAGCGTGCATATAAAAGACCAGAAATCTTCTGCAGACGCCACAGTCAGTTGTGGATTGAACCACTGAAGCAATCAAAGACAAATTGCAGTTAACGGTTTTGCTTTTGTTAAAGAAGTGACGAAAACAAAATTTCAGTGATTAAAATGAAATTCTTAGCGTTGGTATGTTGCATTTTTTATGAATATATGTATATATGCAATTGAATAGTGTTAAAAACAATTTTCTTTTATTGTATACTGTGTTGAGTTAAAAGTAATTAAGTAAGTAGAATCCCAAAAGAAATAGAAAAATAAAAAAATATTTCCATTTCCTGCTGTTGTTTGTGTTGAAAAAAAGCTCTGGTCGGAAAAATCCTGGTAAATTTTAGTCTGGAACCGGAGAATAGTGATCAAGTTAGATATGAAGGATAAAAGTGCGAAAGAAAGGAGAAAAAACTTACGAAGAGGAACAGGCAAATGGGAGAAAAATTTGACAAATAAATTTTATCTTGCAAATAAGAAGATAAAAATTCACTGAAAAATTTATTCAACTGGTGGAAGCACACTTTTTCCGATCGATTAAGCTCGTGGTATCTTGTTTGAATTAAATGCAATTAATTTATTAAATGTTCTTAAAATAATACCAACTTGAAGAGAAAGAGAAAACTTCAAAAACCGTTAGCTCTCTTGTTTTGGGATAGCGCGAGTTGCTATTCATTGGCGTTAAGAACCCTCCAATTTAGGCATGTCAGTTAGTAAAAGCGCTATTATGGAACAATAGTAAAAAGTGATTTATAATTTTTACATTAAATTGGAAGCTTTACTTAAGGCGGTAACCGAGTGGTTAACACTACGTACTGACATTCGGAAGGCTCGGGCTCAAATCCTGGTATGACCGACATACAAAAGTTATAGAAAATAAATTTAATTAATTTATTAATTTGCTGGAAATGTTAACCTCTCCAAATGTATTTCTGACATGAAATAAAGCTCCTCATATAGAAAACCATCAACCCTTATGGGGGCGACTTAGAATAAACGGTAGGCCCCTCCATTTGTTAGAAAAAACATCAAGACGAAAATCGCTGCAGCGGTTACAAAGCACCAATTATATGTGTATATAAAAATTATCCGATTTATGTCGAATATATGTATACTGCTTTGGTCGTTAACTTTTCGATTACCATTTTTGTCATTGTGAAGGTAATGTCGTTATGCCTCTCGCTTGGAACCGCTTGTCTCCATGGCAAAAAATTGAAACAATCGATCTCACAGGCTTCTGTTGGAGTCAATTCTTCTTCATCCAAATCATTCGTCATAGACAGGGAGAGACGATACTCACTTTGTGTGCAGTCCAAAATTGGAATTTCAGAACAATTTTTTTACATTAATTTGTTTTTTATTGTTTTACATGAGAAAACATTTTATCAAGATCGGTTGAATAGTTTTCCAGAACTTTTTACAACGACCTTAAAACACAGTTTCGAGAAAAATATTTTTAATGTTAAGAGTAATAAAAAACTGGACTTTGTGCATACTTCTTCTCAAGGTTGTGTCTCCGAAAATCAAACTACAAAATCAACTCGGAATAAAAAAGTGTGGAAAGAGCTGGGCGTGAGCACAGCATTATGATAAGTCTCTCGATTCAATGGAGTAATAAATGAAAACTTATAACTTACACAAAAACTTAACTGCTCAATATCGCTGCTCAAAGTCTTTCACCAAAATGTCAATATGTATGCCTCGAAGCAAGCCAAACGCATCATTCTGAGATATACTAGTTCTTATACCTACGCATACTTAGTATATGTAAATCTAAATATTTTTTTAAACTGTCGGTGATCCCTTTAACCTAAAGAAAGTTTTATTTATATTTTGAGCAAATCGATCTTGGCTCCAAGTCTTTGGTCTACTTTCAGGACTTTTGTTTCCTGTAAATTCATTCAAATAGATCGGTCCACTTTCTTAAAAAAAAATTTTCAAACAAATAAAAAGAACTATAAATGTGATTTTTTTAATAGGTCAGCTCGTGATCCACTTCCCGAAAGATTTTTTTCGTACAGGCCTTACCAGGAACCATAGAAACAAGCTAACAAATTTGCAGTATAAGCTGTGGGCACTTTCGGAGATCACTTGAAAAGCACATACATACAAAGATTTTTATATATGAATAATATATTTAGAATAGAATATAGCATTAAGAAATTAATTATAAGCAAAATTTAAACTTTTTACATAAATTTTGAAAATTATGTTTTACAGCATATTAAATTTCTTGCACATTTTCATATTATTATATTTATACATAAATATATATGTTACATATCTTTCCTTGTCCTTTGATTTCTTTAATTTCAGACATTATTTGTTTGCTTGCTGATTGTTGCTCTGGCAACAGCCGCACCCGCTGATGAATCCCTGCCAGGTGACATATACGAACAGGATGAGCAAGGACAACAAAACTTTTTCAAATTGAAGAAAATCAAGAAATTGCTTTTAGGTTAAACTACATACAAATCTGTGCATGCGTACTCGTACATATGTACATACTTATATACACACATACTCGTATGTACAAACGAAATACTTATGCATAAGAAATGTGTTTAAATTAGAATTTAAGGCTTTGTTACTTGTTCTCCTGATTGTGTTCATAGTTGTTTTTGTAATCACAATGTTACAGTAATTTGTTAAATAATCTAATAAGATTGCTTAAAAGTTTCACACCAGCATACATACTTACTGTTATATTATATAATGCATTGACTCATATGATTTGTGTGGAGCAAAGAAGTATTGCAAATATTTCTTTTTGGAAGTACATACACACCTAGAATATATGTGCATATGTCAACAATAGTTCTGTAAATATTGATTTTAAATAAAAAAAATAATACAAAGTATCGAAAAAGTATTTTGGCAAATAATTAAAGCGAAGGTGTTAAGTTAATACAAATATGCAAAGCTCAGAATATCAGAGATCGACACATAAGACTAGATATTTACTCGCACATAAAAACAGATTTACTAAGCATACAAAAAAAACAATTTTTTTCTTTAAATTTTAATAGCTTTATGTAAAACCATACAAATATTCCTTACAATTAGCTCGTCTTTCTTCGAAAATAAATTGCATGATTTTTTTCACAAACATGAATAAACTAGTTATGTATGTATGAGTATATGAAAGTTGAAACAAATTGAGTTTTCGAAAAAAACACACCGTATTTTATTTGAATAATATATTATTTTTCAAATAAACCGGTTGTTGAAACCACAAACACACGATTAAAAGCTTCTTATCTGACGATATGAAAACCAAAGGGTCATAGGACAGAATAAAAAGGAATTACTAGAAATTTTTGGTAGAATTTAAATGAATTTACTTTTGCATAAATTTTATTGTCTCAAAAGCGTCTTACATATATACATACATATGTATAGTTTAACGACTTTAATCGAACATTCTAGAAAAATACCCGTGAACCCATGAAGCTTGTAATACGAAAACTTGATTTTTTTTAATTATGTGTTACATGTTTCCTTTCACTCTGTCTGTAGGAATTTAAATAAATATATATTTAAAAAAAAATACCAAACATGAGACGAATAAGAACACCAAACAGTTCTACCACAAAAAGGTTTCAGGTTTCATAAAAATAATCTTAAATTCGAAATCTAAATAAATCTGATCGCAATTGAAAAAAAGGGAAAAGATTTTTTTTCTATCCTTCAATCGGTCGTCAATTTTAAAAAAGAAATCTAAGAAAATACTATTTTTACTCAGTTGAAATGTGAAAATCTCGTATTTTCTGCGACTTCTGAATTTATCCAGAGATAATTTGCTGGTCTCCTTTTATCTGAACTCCAATCTGAAATATGTTAGATATTTATAAAATAGTGCTCCAAGTCAAAAAACTTGTTGGCTATATTTTATGAATAAAAAAAATTGACTTTTAATTAATTTTTGTTTTTATTAATAAACTTATTATTAACATTATAATGTAGAGTATTTGAATTTCTGCCCTGAAGTTTTTTGTTTTACTTAACATTATGATTGAAAAATAATTAAATATCGTGAAAATACGATATTTATGGAAGTGTTGGTTGCTTTCATATAATATTATGTAATATGTAGCTTCATTTTTTTTTTTGGAACTTATAAAATAACGGCAATAGGATAATAACACTGACAGCTGCAAAGAATTAGCCCAAGAACAGCAATTTCTTCAACAATGCCAATTTCAATAAGACGCTCTTATCATCGGTGGCTTCAACCGTGTCGTGGGCAACACCTTCAATGCCTTCTGGAATGGCTTCTTCCACGGGTACAGCGTTGACGGCCAAGAAAAGGGCGCAGCAAACGAAGATGGCCTACAGGGTTAAAAAATAATGCTTCATAATTTTCTACTAGTTACATATTTTAGAAATTGTTCATAGGAGGACTACGAGTTTTGCAAAAAAGAAAAAGTAGTAGCAATTGAATTTTTTGTTATTATTTTTATTTTTATTTGCGTTGTTTTTCGTTTTACATATTTTTTTAATTTTTTTTATTTCTTTCTGTTTAGATTTTATTTTATTTGACTTTATATTATTTAATATTGCTTTATTTATTCTATTTCATTTTAGTTTGCTTAACTTTGTTTAATTAAATCTTCTTCATTTGAGAAATGTTTATTTTGTCTATTTTACTGATTTTTTAATTTTACAGTATTTAATGTTATTTTATTTCAATTTACGTTATATTAATTTATTTTATTTTGCTTCGTTATCTTTTATTTTTTGTTTCATTTTATATATTATTAGTTTGGTTTATTTTTTTTTTTATTTTATTTTATTTTATTTTATTTTATTTTATTTTATTTTATTTTATTTTATTTTATTTTATTTTATTTTATTTTATTTTTATTTTTTTCATTTTATTTATGTTGTTAATTTATTTAATTTACTTCGTTTTGTTTTATTTTACGTTCTTTTGTATTGTAATTTTTCTTATTTCATTTTTTCCTAATTTTAAATTTTATTATATTTATATTTTTTAAATCATGTTTCACGCACCAAGAGTAGGAATTTCATCTTGTCAATTATTTTTTATAAATCTCCTCCACTCAAAACCGCGTGATTCCAATTGTAAACGTTAACTGGTATTCATTTTAAGCTTAATACTACTATTTATACTAGCCTACTTGTGCACGCTGCCGCCGGCTTCTGTTCGCAGCCAATGGTGACGCTACGACAGCGTGCTGGAGCTTCGCACATAAAACGGTGCGCACCCTAACAATATAGGTGAAATACCTTTGTAAGTATTTGTGCGTACTATTTCAATTGATTGATATCTTATTTCGGCGTGCTTAAACGATTCGCTATTAGTTTTAACACTTTTTTGCTTTAAGTTGCGGCCTGTCAAAAGTTTTCGCTCTTCCGCTGTTCAGTTGACGTTTTCTTCAATTGACAAATGTTTCGAGTTAAAAAGTATTTGGTACCTCAAAGAGCAGTCTGAAATAGTTTTTATTGTCTTCTACCTATATGGGTACATATGCATAGGTATATGCAGTATGAATCTACATGCACACATCCATACGTATGTAAATATGTATATTAAAATTTGTTTGCATAATTTTTGAACTAATTCTTATGTGTTGTGTTTAAACCTACATTTACATACGCATATGCGCACGATTATACGATTTGGCCGAAAATATATCACAATCCACCTTATATGCATAAAACGTCTTTGGAGGTGTTCGAAATCTCTAATGATAAATATAGAACTTCTTAACATATACAAACATATGTACATACTTAATGAAATGAGTTTTTGTTTTGCATTCTTTCAGATGAATTTATTGCGAGCTCAAAAAATCGTTTTCAATCATAAATGATGAGAGAGAGCAAGTTTCTTCCTCTGAACATCATAACACTTCAAAGGGCATAAAATTCGGTAGATTTGTACGTGACTTTTGTTTTTGTAGAATTAACAGATTATTTTTTTACCAAATAATAAAGTACCCATCCGGCAATCTGGATGGTTTTTCCGTTACTTGGAAGTCATCACTCGGGGTCAGATCTAGGCTATAGGTCGGGTTACTCGAAATATCGACGCGGCTCTTGTGAACACTTTTTACGCTGTTGTTTTTGCCGAGGCGTAAGCGTTCTTGGTACCCATCTTGTGCTGAACTTAGCCACGCCAAGATAATCGTGCAGTATTTTAAATAGATTGTTTGGGACACTTCAACTCATTGCTGCGAGTTGTTTCTTTTTCAGTCCAGCATTGTGAAGGGCACTTTTTTGATAAGGTCTTACGAGGTCGCCAGAATGCTCCTGTTCGGCCTCAGGCCAGTTTTCAGAGATTGTTTAGTGTGTCACTTGTATATAATAGTATTGCTGAAAAGGAGTCGTCGTAAGTCAATGTCATCTCATTCATTTTAGTTACAACTGATTTTCATTTCTTCTAAGGAATTTTACAACGGAGCTATATTCGATATTTTCGAAGTTTCACTTTTCACTCCCGATTATATTAGTCGGTTGACGATAGGTCAGAGAAAGCTTGTCTAATAAGAATGGAAACTGTTGATTATGGCTCACTAAATACGTGACGGTCGTAAGGAGTCTGCCTAATCACCTTGTCACAACCCTCTCATTTCAAGAGCATAAAAACGCTCCCGGGTAACTGGGGTTCCTTATAGGTTTAACCTGTGTGCGTGCAAAGGAAGTCTGAGTCGGTGAAAAAAATTATTATTTTACATCAATTGAAATATGGTTCTTCCTTCTTCGCAAACATCGTGCTGCTCGCAATACTTGATACCCAGTTATACATATATGTACATATGTATACATTATTGCGGCCGCGGTAGCCGAGCGGTTGGCATTGCATATTGCCTTTCGGAAGACTCGGGATCAAATCCCAGTGCCACAAACATCCAAAAATAATTGAAAATTAATTTGAATAATGTATTTCGGACAAGAAATAAAGCTCCTCGGAGGCAGCTTAGTGTAAACTGTAGATCCCTCCATTTGTTGGAAAAACATCAAAACGTAAAATCACAAATTGGAGAAGGAGCTCGGCCGAAAATCGCTTCAAAAGTTACAAAGCCCCAATTATATATAGAGTATATATATACAAGTATGTATATATTAAATATATGTATATTTGTATATGAACTAACGATTCTAAAAAGAATTTGAAAGAAGACTTGAAGAAATTGAATACTAAACGAAGAATGTTGATTAAAAAAAAATTTTTAATGAAGTGTTTCATATTTTACACAATAATTAGCATGATATTTATGCAAAAACCCTAAAACATGTTTGTCTCATAAATGAAAATAAATATTTGTAAATTTGCAAACTGGTAGAATTTACATATGTAAATGCAAATTGGGTTGTACATAATGTGTACATACATACATACAAATTTACAAACTCCGATATTTCAACATAATACATCCGCACCTTGTTGGCATACATACATACATACATACATACATTTACTTACTTTAATTTTAGTTTAAGCACGTACGACATTGAAAATGCTATATAATATGTTAATATGCCCATATTTGTATTACATATATCCGGGAGTTTGTATATATTGGTATATACATATATACACGAGCATCTTTGTACTTTTTTAACATTCATAATTTACAAATGAGCTATAAATCTTCTAAATCTAAATCTTCTTCATCTGTGCTGATCTTAAAAAAGTACTTATTTATTTAAATGATTGCGCTTGATTTCACTCTAAATGAATATATTACATATGTACATACATATAAATATATGAAAAGCAAACCTTAAGGTTCCAAAACATCTACATACCTTGGTTTTTCAAATGTGAACACTTTTTCAGTAAGCTTTAATTACTCATCTCGTACAAAGGTGTGGTTAGATGACAAGGATGACATTGTTGATAATACTTAATTTAGTTACCATAGTACGATGGCGAACAATGGTTATTAAGTCATGCTTGAGAACCAAAGAGATTTATGTAGTTATAAATATAAAGTAAAGCTAAAGTATGTAGCTTGTTCTTTTTTACAAATGCATGCATATACATACATATATAGGTATGTTTATTATTTCCAGCAAATTAAGGTTGACATCCCTTCAGAAACGTGTTGATGGGCATTAGAAATTTTTTTTATCTTTCTCCTCTGAGTACTTTCATATAAAAGGAGTATGCAGTTATTCTTTTGATTTTACGTTTTTATTTTCGAGTATAACACCATCTGACGCCATTTTTTATCGCTTTCTCTGTAGCAGATAAAAGGATGCGGATCCTGTACAAGTAGTGGTAAGTACAATACTTCATTTTTCTTTGCTTTTTACATTTATTTATTTAAAGCTACTCCATATCATACGAAAAATGCAGCTAATGAAGCAGGATTACTGGAATGTACGCTTCTCATCTTGCAGCGGTAGCAGATTTAAAAGTACAAAACTTTGCGAGGTACACCTGCATTTAGATATTAATAACTATCTGATTCCGAACTATTTTTTTATTTTACTTAGCCGTCTTTAAACATCAACGCATTTTACTATTATTTTATAAAGTGTGAAAACGAATTTGTTGTTGTATTGCATAGAAAACTATATAAATAATAATGGAAAAATATTGGAACAAAGACTGAATGTTAATAATGTTTTTATGGATGTTTATATGTATGAGGAAAAAATTTTTGTCAAAGCTAATTTACTTCGGCATCAATTCTGTCGCTCATCTGTGATCGGCTTTTTTGCGTTAATATTGTTTTCTTTTGGTATCAATGCTTTCGCTCAGCTGTGTTCTGTTGGTCCGACAAGAATGACGAAGTGTCCAAGGAAACGAAGAGAGAATGGCGTACACATAACATTTGTCATTTCGGCTTTAAAAAAATTTTTCCCGTTTAAGCGTTATAATTACTATTATCACCATTATTAAATAATCCAATGTAATTGTGAACAGAGATTATTAATATCATTTCACATTGAGCATTGTGCTGTTGGCAATACTCTAAATTTGTCTTTTTTTTTGATTTTGTTGACAGTTGCTCAACATTTATTAACCTACAATGGTAACACTCATAGTCCAGAGGAGAAAAGTAAAATCAGCATAAATTCAGAACATTTTCTTTATTTTCCAACCACAACAAAATTACCTCATAACTAAATAATAAACTTAAGTAAAAAAATTAAACAAAATCCCCAATAAAACTATAAATATGACGGGTACGTTTAGTGTCAAGATAAAATCGAAGAAAGGTCAATTCATAATGAAGGACTTGACTGCTAAAACAACAATTGCTGAATTGAAAGCAAAAGTTTCCCAATTGACTGAGGTAAAAGAACAGCAGTTAAATATATTGGCTGGTTACCCGCCGCGAGCATTAGATCTGTCGCAAAATGAAAACTGCATATCTACAATAGGTGTTAGCTCTGGTGAAACATTAATTGTGGAAGAGAAACCAGCTGGTGAAGCCACTTATTGCTTGGAGGATGACGAAGCCCTTGCGCGTAGATTGCAAGCGGAAGAAGAGGAAGAGCAATTGCGACAGGTTGTAGCAAACGCTACTAGTGTTGAGGGTTCCAATGGACCTTCAGCACCGATTGAATTGCCCAGTGGTTCTAGCGGAAGTTTCGATGGAATCTTGCTCAAGAAAGTTGTTCCAGCAGATAATTCTTGCCTTTTTACCAGCATACGTTTCGTATTAAATGGCAGAATCGACAATGAAGGAAGTGAAATGATGCGACATATTATAGCCCAAGAAGTTTCCGCTGATCCTCAAGTATACAATGATGCTGTTTTGGGAAAGTCAAATGCCGAATATTGCGCCTGGATACAAAAGTCTGACTCGTGGGGAGGTGCTATCGAAGTTTCCATACTGTCAAATTACTACGGCATTGAAATTGATGTCGTAGATATTCAAAATGCAATTATAAATCGCTTTGGAGAAGATAAAAATTATGGGCTACGTGTCTTCCTGCTATTCGATGGAATACATTACGATCCATTATATATGGAAACGGCAGGGGTATGTCAAATGTTTTTAAATTCTAAGCATATCAACTTCTTATGAACAAACTTACTTTTCAGGGCGGTGCTCCTGCCACTATATTTCCAATCGAGGAATTAGGTGTATATCACCAAGCGGAGCAGTTAGCTAACGAAGCAAAATCGTCTAGGCAATTCACCAATGTTGATAAGTTCTCCCTGCGTTGTCTACAGTGTGACGTTATGCTTATTGGTCAAGTGCAGGCACAGGAACATGCGCAATCAACCGGGCATACTAGATTCGGTGAAATTTAATACGCAGTCATTTTTAGTTCGTTATACTTTCTTGCTTTCTTCATATTTGCTTATTTCGTACTCACTTCCTAAAGCTTGACGAACACATCAAACTCATGAAATTCCTAAACGTGAGAACCAAAGACAAGGAGAAGTGCGATTCTCTTCGCATTGTCACAAAATTTTAATTTAGCTGAATTAAAAGCATGCCTCTCATAACTTATTTTTCTAATATTTCTTTATAAATATTTTATGAAATTTGTTAACCAATCTTTTAATTGAAAGTTTGTAAAAAAACAATCATCCATTTAACATAAAATATGTTCTGTAATAGCTTAGCTAATCGTATAAAATTATAGCATAGAGCTTCGAGCGAGATTTTTAAATATATTTAAGATACGTATTTAAATTCGAAAATAATAACAATTCACTCTTGATTGCAAATATGTAATGCCCATATGTATTTAAGCTTTGTTTAACAAAACATCGTTATTTTATCCAAAAAAAAATTTATTCTCCATACTGTAAAGATATTTGAAAAACGTAAGTAGAAGACAATTTTGATCCAAATAACTAAGCGGTAGGAGCCCAAGGCGGTGTCATGGGTGCGGGATTTTGTAAATATGACATGACCACTGCACTCACAGATAACATGAACGACGAGAGCACCTAAAATCACAAGTTACATAGCCGGATATATTAATAATTGTTTAATAAATTATTACCTGTTTGGCGTCATCACTGACCCTTGAACTGGCAAAGCTAATGCAAGAGCAATACAGAGCGAACCATGCACACCATTTAAGCTTCATCATCAAACCACACATCGAGAAAATCATACCTAGATAAGAGCATAGCAAATTAATCTGATGGTACTTGTTCAACAGCACCACTTACCTAATATATTCATATAGTCCGGCATTAGGTCTTCGCTGGAGGCACCCGATTGGCCTTGGTTTTGTGGAGCCTTATAGCGATTTACCTTTTCTTTACGACGTGGATCTACTTGAGCACTCATTTTTATTTAATAAAAATTAAGAGTTGTTTGGGTGTTAAGAGTGGTCAATTACTACAGTCAATAAAGCAATTGACTTAAAAATGTCACAAATGAAGTTTCGTCCAAGACACCAACCAGAGAACTTATAATAACGAGAAGCACCAGGATGTGCCGATTATCAAATTGGTCCGCTGGCTCGTGTTATGAAAGCGTATTTCAACACACAAATCTGAAAGCGTATTTCACCGCACTCTAACAGTGAGCAGACAGAAATCGTGCTCAAACTAGCAGAATGAGCAAGTTTTTTATGTAAAATGAGAAAATGCATGCGAAATAAATGTAAAACTGATAAGCCTATGCAAGATAAATGTTAGAATGCAGAGGGTTATTATCAAAATTTTCTGATATTATCATCTTTTGTTTAGTGGCTTTTAAAAATTTGTAATTTTCATTAAATATTTTTCTAATTTACCAAATCATATGATTTTTATATACCTACATATTTCACATTTTTCTAATAATTTTTTAGAGACATAATTGATAGTAGTCATGATATTTTAGACATAACAAAAGATATTTAATTAAATTATTTTAAATATTATTTACTTTAGGGGTAAATATTGGAATAAGTAAGCAAACAAGTTAAAATTCATTCATTGATTTAAACGTATGAGCGTGCGTGCATATATATATATATATATATATATACATATATTTACAATATACATATCTGTATGTACATATGTTTGCAAATGTGTATTAAGAAGAAGCAAAACGTACACAACTAGCAAAAAAAACCATGCCATCACCATGACAACACCACTTTAATAGCAAAAAAGTCCTTCTGAAAACAAACGCTGGCGCACCGTCTACTAAACGAGCTGCGCAAGCACCATACATCTCCCCGCATGCGACTCGCACACAAACCAAAGTGCCAAAAATTATAAGTTGAACACTTTTGTGTCTTTTTCGACAATAGCAAATCGTGCTCTCGATAGAGTGAACTTTTTGTTTAGAATTACAAAGCTTATTTATAATGAATGCCAAACAAATGTTAAAAACAATTTTATTATTTTTAAACATGAATTTTTTAATTTAATTTATGTTTAGCAACTCGAAAAAATGTAAAATTTAATAAAAAAAAACTTGTATTCGATAAAGAATTAATTAACTATATACAAATGAATCCTATAACTTATAAAACTCCTTCGATTATTAAATTAATACATATTTGAATTGTGAAAAATGTAAGATTATTATTTGAAAAGGTTAATTAACTTAGGACAATTAAAGATTTCAATACAAATTTCAAATCTATGAAGTTATATACGAATCACTCCTATAGCTGTTACTAGTGATATATATATTCGTGGTATACAAAGTTTACTGTACCAGAATTCGTACACCAAAATGCCAAAAATATGAAATCGAGCAAAATTTTGCGATCGTCGCTAAGAAATTGCTTGTGGATGGCGGGGTATAAGAGCAAGGGCTCGGGCATTATTAAGATTGTGTGCGTTTTGCGTATACATATTAAATTGCTTGCATGTATGGGTGTTCACTTTGTCCTGAGTTCAACATCAATTTTTCGATTTTTGCTAAAATTTGACTTCGACTTGAGGAAACTGTTTGTGGATGAAGAGTCGAAGGAAAGGGGGGTTTACTTGTCTTCATTGAAATCAAACATTCTAGAATGTTCTAGAATTTTCTAGAACTTTTAGAATATTATAGAAATCCTCGCCACAATTCTTCATCTTGTTGGTAAGGTGAATGCGGGAAGGCAAGGAAATCGCTTGCTGTGCTATATGAAGTAATAGGCGAACAGCAAATTTAGTAGCACGATGCCTATTTGCTTCATTTCTGCAGACGAAGATTGAATTTTTGTCAGTGGTAAGAATTTGAAGCAATGCTTGTTGACGACACATGAAAGTTACGGGTTGAAGGAGAAGGGCATGCTTTGTATGTATGTTGTTGTTGCTTCATTTTTCGCGACCATAATGATTTTGTGTGTTTGTGTTTTTGACACTGTCGCGAAGAAGCAACTTGTTGGTATGGCACGGAGGTGTTTATGTATGAACGCACTTTGCTTTGTTGTAGGGCGCAGGCGTCTATGAATGAAAACGTTATTGTTGTATTTGATTTTAGCTTTTGGGCGATAGTAGTATTTTTCACACAAGTAATATGTTTGTATGTTTTTACAAATGCGTATATGCATGTATTAAAGTATATATGTACATATGTTTGTATGCATATATTACTTGGGGAAGGTCAGTAATTTGAATGGTACAGGTATACATGCATATGTACATATTTATAAATTAATGTATTTTTGACTTATAAGTTAAGAAAATTATTCATCTTAATTAATTAAATAACCCTTATTGTAAATAAACGCTATAGCGAAATGCCGACGGCAACTCGACACTTTTTGATGGTAAACATTTAAAATTTGCTATAAGTTAAGTCAGAAATTCGAAAAACATAGGAAATATATTAGTAAAATTTGGTTCAGTTTCTTCAATCTAAAAAAAAAAAAATTAAATAATATTTTCCTTTATTTTGATAACAATCATCAAAAAATTCGTTCCCTGAAGTTAACATATAACAATGTTATTTAAATGCTGAGAATTGCATTTGTGAGCATAATTTTTGTTGCTACGCTCAAAATGTTAAGCACTATAGACGAATTCTGTTAATTTCTGTGCCGGTGGTGAAATACGCTTTCATGACTCGACTTCGTTTTTGACAGTTTCCACGCTGGTCCGCAATTGAACCTTCTCTATGTTATAAGTTCTCTGCACCAACCAATTCTGTAAAATCAACGAGAGAATATAAATAAGTGTCCATAATAAAATCAAAACTCATATACCTGTTTTTCTAAAAATATGTTTTCGAGTATATTATTGCAACTTATTAACCATCTTGCAAACCAAAGAAGTAATCATAATTATCAAATATATAAAAAAAGTAATCAACGTAGATATTATATGAAAAAATATCGTTTTTTTTTTTTTGCTATTGAGAAAATTCATTCTGTAGCCCGATATCTTCACATCTACAATCGAACTTTGACTATCATCGCCATTCCGAAAACAGCTGTTTATTATAAAATTAATTTTTACGGGCGTTTGTAAATAAATAAAAGCACATCTGAATAACTTTGCATAAACGTAACATGAAGATTTTTAAGCAAGGTGCGGAGGGACGACTTTATCTTGGGGAATATAATGGAGAGTATTGTTTAGTGAAAGAACGTTTTATTAAACAATACAGGCATCCGGACTTAGATTCACAAATCTCGCGGCAACGAATTAAGGCCGAAACCAAAGCAATATCTCGATGCCTGAATTCGGGAATTTTAGTACCTCGTATATTACATACGGATCTAAATGGACGTAAAATATATATGGAATATTTTGGGAAAGCTATTACGGCCAAAGAATACATTCAGAGGGCAGTGGCTGAACATGAAGATAAGGTTGCAGAAGAGCTCTTAAAGAACATAGGTGCGAAAATTGGTACCATTATAGGAAAACTACATGCAAATAACATAATTCATGGGGATTTGACCACTTCAAATATTCTTATTAATCCCAAAGGAAATAATTTTGATTTCAATGTCTACGATATAGTATTTATAGATTTTGGATTGAGTCATTACAACCAAGGGGCCGAAGGTAAAGGTGTTGATTTGTATGTGCTTGAACGAGCTCTTCTCAGCACGCACAGTGAACAGCCAAATTTATTTGAACACATCTTAGAAGCATACCGGAAGGAATGTGGAAAGGATGAAAGCACTGTAGTGGCAAAATTTGAAGAAGTTCGAGCGCGCGGTCGGAAACGTACCATGATTGGTTGATAATATTTTATTAACAAAAAATCGAAGGGTACTTTTTATTTACAACTCAAACAATTAGTTACAACTGGAGCTTAGATTAGCTATTGTATACATAAATAAAAATAATATAACAAATGCGTGATTTACTCTAACTGTCTTTGTGTTCTTTTTTCATCATTAATGGTATTATCGGGATCACTTCGTAAGTTCTCTATTTTGATTTTTTTGATATACTTTCGAACCTTTTGCTTTTTGGAAATTTCGTAATTTTTCAATGGTTCAACACCATCGACATCCTCCTCCTTAAATTGGGTATATGGATGGTCACGAATTTTTTTAATTGCATCCTCGAGCTTTAATCCAGCGATTCCTTGTTCCTCATAGTAGACACGCAATTTCGCACAAAACTTTGCATGACCATTTTTAAATGATTTTGATTTTGTTGATAGATGCTAAAAATTAGATAAACAAAAAATTTTGTCTCAAATAAATGCCAAACTTGTATATAGCATATTATTACCCTTGCATCAATTGACCGTGCACATCTTTCATAAAAATTATGTAAATGCTTCAGGAAAAAGTCATTTGGCTTGATTTGTTCATCTAAACTAATTTGTAAAATTTCTATAATATATGGGAAATTTCTGTTTTCGGCACCTTGTCGCAACATTGCTCCCAAAATTTGGATGTTCATTCTGTAATGGCAAAAGTAGATGCGATTAATATATTAAAGAACGGCATCACACTAATTATACCGTATTCCATTTTCCTTCATTTTTTGTAACAATTCTCTTGATTCGATTTCCGTTTGACAACCTAGCGCTAGTACACCATAGGTAACAATATCAGGCTCTAAGCCAGCAGTTCGTATCATCGACATAACTTCTTTCGCTCCTTCATAGTCGAAACGCATGGACCGTTTGTTTATTAGAATATTGAAGAAATCAATGTCCGCCTTCAAACCAATTTTTCGGACAAATGAAAGCAACTGTTTTTCAGCAGCATAAGTTGGTGGTATAACCTCTAACAATGTTGTCAGAGTTTCAATATTGGGCGTGACATCATAAGCTTTCATGAGTTGCATAAAGCCGGACAAGCCACCGAGTAACAATAAACGTTCATGTGGCTTGCTTACTTCAGCTAAAGATACCAGGCTACCTAAATTTGGTTGCGGTGTCAACAAATTTGGCATTTCAAATTGCGAAGCGTCATTTTTAATTTCTATAAGTCGAGAATTTTGTTCTGATTCAAGTAATTTTGAAGTGGAAGACTCTTTCAATAACGGGATTGTCTCGTCTGCGGTCAAATCATTTGTTAGTAATTCCTGGCGTTCAGCGAATATTTGCTCAAGTACTTTCTCCATGGTGTGTAAGTCGCCAAATCCACAGTCTCTTACACAGCGTAAAACTGTGTTGAAAGTGTAATAATCGGGTCGGAGTCCATGCTGGAACATTTTGTGCCAGGTTAAAAGACAATGCCTGTGGTGAAGAGAAATTTATGAGAAAAATAGTATAATAAATATACGCAAATGTAATCACTTTTATATGTACATACCTAAATCCAAACTCAAAATCGCTTGCACAAGCCTGCATTAAAAAATTAAAGGTATCAACATTTAATGGCAAACGTTTTTCCATAAGTTCATCAGCAAGCAAATAAGCAGTCTTCACATCACCACATCGACCAAAAGCTTTAATCATAGCGTTATAATTTTTGGCATTGGGTTCATAGCTCTTTTCAATCATTATTTCTCGCAGTCTATTTGCCTGTTCAATACCGTAGACAGTGGATGGTGCATTAGCGCATGCATTAAAAAGCGACGTATATGTCCCGCCTTTCACCTTTAAACCTCTTTGACGCATTTTGGTAAATAAGTTAAACGCTTTGCGTGTATAACCTGCTTTTGCACAACCGCTTATTAGTAGATTATATATATATGCATCTGGTTTGGCTCGATCTTTTTTCATTTGTACTTCAAGAACCGCAATGGCGTCTTTGATTCGTTTTTCGTTCAGATGAGATTTAATAAGGCGCGCATAATCTATCGTTCGCAATGACTTTTTTACGGGATTCTGTGTAAACTCCTCTTCCTCCAAATCGCCAGCATCTTCTGCCGCCCCAGATAATACATTGTTTCCAAAAATATCAGCACTGTCATTTTGATTATCAAACGTTTTTTTTATGCCTCTTTCGCTGAATGCATTCATAGAATGTATTGGCTTTTGCCTTGCTGCATTGTGTTCTTCCAAATTAGCTAGTCGTTGTTCTTCCATACCGGCGTCCTTATCATAAACTTTCTCGTGCAGTGAACGGATACCGCACCTAGGCTCTGGTAATAAATTATAAATACTATATTGCAATTTAAAACATTCTTGAATTTTGATTTTCTGTGACAACTGATGCTTCACACTATACAAATGGAGCAACGCCCTACAGCGGAGCACACGTACAGCCATTTTTTTTAATATAAATAATTTGTGAAATATTTATTATATTTTCTTATTTATATAAAAAAAATTTGAATAGCATGCTGTTTTATTGTTTGGATTATTAGAGTGCCCAGATATTTATATTAACTCTTATGGTGTGTGTACATTTTGAGTTGGGAATGTTGTGCTCTTAAATCGTAAATTCAAGTAGCTTGCAAACCTTTGATGATCGTCATTGTTGGAACTCACTGTCGAAATGAAAGCATATGATTGTGCACAGAGCTGCAAAGAGCTGAATTATTGCATAAAATAATGTTAGTATTATTTTCTCGCGAAACAATTAGCAGAGTTTGACTCGTTGGATAGTGGTATGTTTTATGTTTAGTCCTTCTAAGACCTTTTCCTCCGTCATGTAACTTAAAGGAGTCCTTCATGTAATCGCAAGCACTGGGCTATTATATAAGAAACGGAGGTAAACACTGTAGTATATAAGATGAGTAGCAAGCTCATAACCGGCAATCTAGTACTCTAGTTCAATGAAACAAACCGAAGGTACACTATAATGCCTAAAGTAAGCGAGACTTCTAAAATATAAATATAAATAAATTTTGACGATCTACAGTTTATACTAAGCCGCCCCCGAACGGTTGATGTATTTTATGTCATGAATACATTCGGAGTGGTTCCCTGCCGAGGGCCGACCGGTGTTTGAAAATATAACATAATTTTTTAATTACATAAAAATTTCTATAAGTTTTGGATGCTGGTCGAACCAGGACTCGAACTCTGGTCTTCCCTATGACGATACGCAAAGCAAGCCGCAAGGCAATCCGGGCCGCCGACTTATGCTGCAACTACCCATCTTACATACCGCATTGCCATAACACCCGAAAAAAAAATTCTTTTTGTGAGTACGTTTTACTTTTCTTTATTTTTTTGTCTAAATAGAAAGGATTTTTAATTTTTGTAATTTTAGAAAATTGAATTTCTTTTTTAATATAAAATTGGTAGAACAAAAATAAAAAAATCTTTTTATGTCAGATAGGTAATATTGTTGAAAAACTTCCTTATTTTTGAATCATGTTATCAACACTTCTGACCTGAAGTACTTCTGTAAAGTGACATCTTTAGTAAAGTCAGCTGTAACTAATTTGTTTGTTTTCATTGTTCATTTTTTACATTGGATGTTTTTGTTTGTGAATTAGTGACTCACGCATTTATCTCTTTTCAATTAAAAAGTAAAGGTGAAAAATGTTTAATAATTTATTTGGCAAAAAACCAACTGTCAAGGAACAGCAAAGGGAAAATGATAAGAATTTGCGAAAGGCAACGCGCGACATAGAACGTGAAAGGAGAAAACTAGAAGAGGAGGAGCGAAAACTGCAACTGGAAATTAAAAAGGCTGCAGCACAAGGAAACAATGAAGTCTGTCGTATATTAGCAAAACAACTTGTTGAAATACGTAAACAAAAATCTCGAACATTTGCGGCAACTGGAAAAATTACATCGATAGGATATCAAAATAAAAATATGGGAACAAATATTGTGCTTTCAGATGCAATGGGAACTACTGCCAAGACAATGGGCGAGATAAACAAAGTCATGCGCCCAGAAAAAATAGCAACAAACATTCGAGAATTCCAAAAAGCGAATACTCAAATGGAAATGACAGATGAAATGATAAATGATACGCTGGATGATATGCTAAATGAGTCGGGCGATGAGGAAGAAAGTGATGCCATTGTTAACAAAGTTTTAGATGAGATTGGTATTGAAATATCTGGCAAAATGGCTAGCATCCCGGTTACTGGTTCAGGAGATTTGGAAAGAAGTTCTCGTACCCAAAAAGACATTGAGGAGCAGTTGGCGAAACTACGCTCATAGTTAATGCTAACAAAATATTTTTAAAATTGAATGTTCTTGATGATGTGAAAAAATAATAAAATATTAATTTAAGTATTGCTTTCATCTACTTACTTCACTAAATAAATCATTTCATTTCTAATCGCAAAGAAAATACATGTATATATAATTGGAGCTTTGTATCCGCTGAAGCGATTTTCGGCCGAGCTCCTCCTCGAATTTGTGGTTTTGCATCTTGATATTTTTCTAACAAATGGAGGGGTCTACAGTTTATAATTATCGCCTCCTAAGGGTTGATGGTTTTCTATATGAGGAGCTTTATTTCATGACACTCGAAGGGATTGACACTCCATGAAAATATATGTAGATACTAAAAATAGAAACTCATTAATAGCTTTGTAATAATTAATTAATTACATTTTATGGTTTTGCCTTTATTACTTTTATATATATTTAACATGCGAAAGTAGCAATTAATTTATAGACGACCTGACATACCGCCAGAAGCCACTATCGTCTCCCCAGTTATGTAAGATGCATCATCAGACACTAAGAACGAAACTATTCCGGCCATTTCTTCCGGAGTACCTAAACGTCTCATAGGAATTTTCGATAGCGCTACTTCGTTCGCCGACTCACTTTCGTATAGCTAGGAGACATAAATAATTTAGCTTTATATATTTATATCTTGTCTTAATATTACCGCTTTTGAGAATTTTGTTTTTATAATTCCAGGTGCTAAGCAATTCACACGAATTCCTTCATTTGCTAAATCTTTAGCTGCGGCTTTGGTAAGACCAATTAAAGCCGTCTTGCTGACTGAATATGCACCCAATAACTGTAGTGAAAATTGGTTGAGACATTTTTACAAACATAACATTACAATCCTTGTACCTCGAAAGCATCATAGCCAGCAATGGAAGATACAAAAACTATACTGGAAGCTTTTTCTTTGCGTAGATAAGGTAAAGCTTCTTTTGCTAGTAAATAAGAAGATTTAACATTTACATCAAATATTTTATCCCACACGCCCTCATCGCAGTCTAGTACTCCACCTACTACTGGGTTTGTGGCAGCATTTGATACTAAGATATTTAATTTTCCATATCTACGAATTGTTTCTTCAAAGAGACGTTTGCAGAGAACTTACAGAGAACTTATAATAACGAGAAGCACCAGGATGTGCCGATTATCAAATTGGTCCGCTGGCTCGTGTTATGAAAGCGTATTTCAACACACAAATCTGAAAGCGTATTTCACCGCACTCTAACAGTGAGCAGACAGAAATCGTGCTCAAACTAGCAGAATGAGCAAGTTTTTTATGTAAAATGAGAAAATGCATGCGAAATAAATGTAAAACTGATAAGCCTATGCAAGATAAATGTTAGAATGCAGAGGGTTATTATCAAAATTTTCTGATATTATCATCTTTTGTTTAGTGGCTTTTAAAAATTTGTAATTTTCATTAAATATTTTTCTAATTTACCAAATCATATGATTTTTATATACCTACATATTTCACATTTTTCTAATAATTTTTTAGAGACATAATTGATAGTAGTCATGATATTTTAGACATAACAAAAGATATTTAATTAAATTATTTTAAATATTATTTACTTTAGGGGTAAATATTGGAATAAGTAAGCAAACAAGTTAAAATTCATTCATTGATTTAAACGTATGAGCGTGCGTGCATATATATATATATATATATATATACATATATTTACAATATACATATCTGTATGTACATATGTTTGCAAATGTGTATTAAGAAGAAGCAAAACGTACACAACTAGCAAAAAAAACCATGCCATCACCATGACAACACCACTTTAATAGCAAAAAAGTCCTTCTGAAAACAAACGCTGGCGCACCGTCTACTAAACGAGCTGCGCAAGCACCATACATCTCCCCGCATGCGACTCGCACACAAACCAAAGTGCCAAAAATTATAAGTTGAACACTTTTGTGTCTTTTTCGACAATAGCAAATCGTGCTCTCGATAGAGTGAACTTTTTGTTTAGAATTACAAAGCTTATTTATAATGAATGCCAAACAAATGTTAAAAACAATTTTATTATTTTTAAACATGAATTTTTTAATTTAATTTATGTTTAGCAACTCGAAAAAATGTAAAATTTAATAAAAAAAAACTTGTATTCGATAAAGAATTAATTAACTATATACAAATGAATCCTATAACTTATAAAACTCCTTCGATTATTAAATTAATACATATTTGAATTGTGAAAAATGTAAGATTATTATTTGAAAAGGTTAATTAACTTAGGACAATTAAAGATTTCAATACAAATTTCAAATCTATGAAGTTATATACGAATCACTCCTATAGCTGTTACTAGTGATATATATATTCGTGGTATACAAAGTTTACTGTACCAGAATTCGTACACCAAAATGCCAAAAATATGAAATCGAGCAAAATTTTGCGATCGTCGCTAAGAAATTGCTTGTGGATGGCGGGGTATAAGAGCAAGGGCTCGGGCATTATTAAGATTGTGTGCGTTTTGCGTATACATATTAAATTGCTTGCATGTATGGGTGTTCACTTTGTCCTGAGTTCAACATCAATTTTTCGATTTTTGCTAAAATTTGACTTCGACTTGAGGAAACTGTTTGTGGATGAAGAGTCGAAGGAAAGGGGGGTTTACTTGTCTTCATTGAAATCAAACATTCTAGAATGTTCTAGAATTTTCTAGAACTTTTAGAATATTATAGAAATCCTCGCCACAATTCTTCATCTTGTTGGTAAGGTGAATGCGGGAAGGCAAGGAAATCGCTTGCTGTGCTATATGAAGTAATAGGCGAACAGCAAATTTAGTAGCACGATGCCTATTTGCTTCATTTCTGCAGACGAAGATTGAATTTTTGTCAGTGGTAAGAATTTGAAGCAATGCTTGTTGACGACACATGAAAGTTACGGGTTGAAGGAGAAGGGCATGCTTTGTATGTATGTTGTTGTTGCTTCATTTTTCGCGACCATAATGATTTTGTGTGTTTGTGTTTTTGACACTGTCGCGAAGAAGCAACTTGTTGGTATGGCACGGAGGTGTTTATGTATGAACGCACTTTGCTTTGTTGTAGGGCGCAGGCGTCTATGAATGAAAACGTTATTGTTGTATTTGATTTTAGCTTTTGGGCGATAGTAGTATTTTTCACACAAGTAATATGTTTGTATGTTTTTACAAATGCGTATATGCATGTATTAAAGTATATATGTACATATGTTTGTATGCATATATTACTTGGGGAAGGTCAGTAATTTGAATGGTACAGGTATACATGCATATGTACATATTTATAAATTAATGTATTTTTGACTTATAAGTTAAGAAAATTATTCATCTTAATTAATTAAATAACCCTTATTGTAAATAAACGCTATAGCGAAATGCCGACGGCAACTCGACACTTTTTGATGGTAAACATTTAAAATTTGCTATAAGTTAAGTCAGAAATTCGAAAAACATAGGAAATATATTAGTAAAATTTGGTTCAGTTTCTTCAATCTAAAAAAAAAAAAATTAAATAATATTTTCCTTTATTTTGATAACAATCATCAAAAAATTCGTTCCCTGAAGTTAACATATAACAATGTTATTTAAATGCTGAGAATTGCATTTGTGAGCATAATTTTTGTTGCTACGCTCAAAATGTTAAGCACTATAGACGAATTCTGTTAATTTCTGTGCCGGTGGTGAAATACGCTTTCATGACTCGACTTCGTTTTTGACAGTTTCCACGCTGGTCCGCAATTGAACCTTCTCTATGTTATAAGTTCTCTGCTTGTGCTTCTCCAACATGACACTTTAAACCAACAACATTAAGATTTAACTTGCGCAAACGATCGGCTGCACTATCCACATTTTTTTCCTTTCGACTGCTGATTACCACCGCGGCGCCGTCTTCAGCTAAACGCTTGGCAATTGCAAAGCCAATGCTGGGTAATATATCAGATTACGCATTTAACACTTTTAAACAATTTTTTCTCATGAACATACCCCTCGGTAGAAGCTGTAATAATAGCAACTTTTCCTTCTAAGCGCCTCATATTTCTGGTAGCTGCCGTATGTGTACTACTGCTTGATAAACGTTTACGGCAAAGCTTAATAGTTCCTTCTGTTATCCGAGCTGTTGAAGAAGATTTGAAACGATTAATAAATTAGCAAAATGACCTTCGAACTTTAAATTGGGAAACATACAACCAATGCAGTTAATTGCACAAGTTTTTGCTGTTGTTGCCAACTGATTTCTGATAAGAAACATTATGCTACAAGTGAATTTTCGTACTTGGACAATTTGTGCTATTTAAATGGGTATTCCTGAATATAGTCGAATATACGATAAGCAAGTGTTGAGAACGGTTTCTTAACCCTAAAAGTTCACTTCATTTTAAAGCATTTGTTAATTAAGAGTTTCTTTCTTGTGCTTAATCTTGAGATATTTTCAAAACTAAATAGTCTGCGAATCAATTCATTTCCACTCTCTCTTATATAAAGTGTACCTATGTAAAAGAAAACAATTTCGTAAAATATTATTTTGATGTTATAAAATTTAAATCACAGTCTGTATTCAAAACTAAATTTTGAAATTGTTGTATCTTTCAAATCTATGGTATCTTTTTAATAATTAACATTATACTTTTTTGTCATAAACAAGTAGATGGTAAAATGTACAATTAATTTCTATAAAGTTTGTAAATCAACTGCCAAAATTTATATTGACGTAAAATTTTTTATTTATTAACAAAATGAGACATTGTCTCCTGTCGTTGCTTAAAAACTTCTTTCCGTAGAAGAATTTATGATTTTAGCTTTCTCTCATCATTTTCATATTAAATATTAATTAATGATGAACATAGAACAATTGCTGATAACAATTCTAGATGTAATAACAATAAAGAAGTTGAATATAGTAACTTATAATTTTCTTTTCAGTTTGCTGTCAGATATGTCAACGAAAACACCGTTGTGCCCATAGTCCACAAAACTCGTTTACAAAATGTTTTCGATGTGGGTCCGGAGAAGGCATAATGCAGCCCATTTAATTAACAGACGAATAAAGTTCATACAATAAGTTTGCATGCTTATCAACCTACGTTTCATTTTATTCACCAATTATATATTATCTAATTTACGCTAATATTATTTATAAAATGTTAAAATAATTAATCGACTAATTTACACAGTTATCGAAAACTAAACACTCGATATAAAAAACTCTCTTATAGGGTAATTCATTTCTCGATTGCTATTTCGTATTAGTATATCGTGCAACTATTTAATTTTGATGATATTAATTGTAAAATTATTTAAAAATTAATTTTAGTTATATATTATAAAAAAAGTTTATATTTTAGGGTAAAGAAAAGCAACATTAAACAACAGGCAACGCATATTGAGTTGAAGAAACCTATCAAGTCACTTCGTTGACATCTCTCAACATGAACATGAATATTACAAAGGCTTCGGCAACAACTAGGAAAATACGAATTGAACAAAATGTACCCAGTGGTTCGGTTCGGAAGGGTCCTTACGCTATAGAGCGCAGTGTCAATCCAAGCGAAGTTGTTATTAAACGTAGATTTGGTAATTTTAAAAGCATATTTTTTTCTTTGAAATTCATAAGTTATCAATTATCGATGGAAATGTATTCTATGGAGAACGTTTTACCCGATGAATGGGTGCAAAAATTATTTTACCTTCAAATCTACAATCAACACACGCTAACTTTTGTGACTTGATCAACTCTCACCTGGAAAAGCAACCAACTACAATCAACATTCTATGGGATAATCGACAAGTGAGTAAAATTATAGCCGGACCTCTTAGTACAGTGTATTTAAAAGGGGAATAATATTCTATCAATAGGAATAAAAATAAGGTCAGCAGCCATGACTTTTCCATCATTTTGAATATACCTTATTTGTTTCGGGATTAATTGGGGGTCGGAAATCCTCTTGAATTCAGAAACGGGAACCGGAGGAAGGTGCCGGTCTTTCAGAAAGCTGTGAAAAATACCAACATTTCTGCTGCCAAGAGCTCAATAAGAAGTTTCAAAAATTGTCTTGGATGTTGCAGCTGTGGCTGCTAAGTAATAAGACATCTATTAGTATCTAGATTTGTTAGACCATTTAACATAGTGTTTTAAACGATGGGGTTAATAGATGAGGGTTAAGAAGCTAGTTATATTACTGTTGCTGTAACGCCTTCAATTGTCGGTTACAGAGCAAACATTATTGAATGTTAATGTAAAGAGTTTATTTGTTTTCTAGTAAACATATAGCGATTGGTTAGTAATCACTAATAGAAATTTTTCATAAGTATCAAAAAAGTAAACCTCTTTTTCAGTCTATGTAATAAGTAAACCAAGGAAAGGGAAAATATCTACAATCAACAAGCCATTGTTGCAGCAACAAAGCAACTGAAACTACAATCAACATTCAATAAACTTGGGTAATTTGGAATTTAATTCTCTGGGACACCTGTGGATTACAACAATCAACTCGAAACTTATTATACAATGTAAATAAAAATTGATATGCATACATGAAGATCAAGTGAAATTCCATTTAAAATCAATTTTATTCGAATATTAAGTTTTTTGCTTTAATTTGTCTGAAAGTAAATAGACATTCCAAATTTAAGTTAATAAATTAATAATGAATTGACTAGTGATTTTTAAGAGAAAAAGATAAGATTTAAAAAAGGAAAGCCTTTCTTGATAAATTTTTGAACCACTTTATGCCGTTTCAATCATAAAAACTTTTAAGAACACATGACTGGTAAAATTAATTTAAAACAAATTTAAATTTTCAACGTAACATTCAACAAAAATGGTGAAAACTATCACGGAAATTGTTAATATTTTTAACATTAATATGTCCCAAAAATAGCCTTTGTATGTATATGATACTAATCCATACATCTATGGTATCTATAGGTGAAGGCTCAAAGCCTCTGTTTCAACGCGACGACATCGTTGTAAACCCTGATAATGTTGTAAGTAATGTTGGTGCTCATTTTGAAACGCAGCCTAAAGATCGAAGTAACAACAGTAAAGAGGAGGTTGAAAATCAATGGCGCAAAGAACGTCACAAATCGACAGTAAGTGAACTACTTCATAGCTTTATAGCAAAAAAAAAATCATTTTTTTTTTTAAGGATTCCAGCAGCCCAGAACGATTTCGTAAGCATCATTCTAGTAACAAAAGTGAACATTCAAACAGCGGTAACAATATTACAACACGACACACAAAAACGCACCACCCTTCACAAGAGAATCTTAACACAGCTTCAAAACGCCGTGACTCTTCACCACCAACTAACCGACGGCACAGAACGCCAGAGAAAGTTCCCTACTTCATAGACGAGATTAGAGAACGCGACCGCATTCGACGTAAATATGGAAAGAGATCTACAAAATCACCGTCACCCCCAGTTATGTCATCCAAGTTTCGTCGCAGGCGGAGTTACTCAAGATCAATCTCTCGTTCAAGGTCTCATTCTCCCGCAAGAAGTAAAAATCGTACACATGTTTATGGCTCACTTTCACGACGCTCGTCTTCAGTGGATCGTTACATAGGCGGTGGTAGGAAGCGGCGTCGAGAAAATTTACGCACCGAAAGAGACCGGGATGGACAATATCGACATCATGGACACAGATCGGAAGAACAGGAACGCTCACGTCGTGGTCGCAGCCCACGAGCACGTACCAGATCTCGAACACGTTCAAGAGAACGTTCAAAGCATGTTCGTGCACGAAATGACGAGCGTAATAAAAATCTCCACGGCAATCATGATGAGTTGACAAATGCCGAGCTAAATCAAAGAAATTTAACGCAACCGCAAATAATAACAATACCTGTGCCAGTTCCAGCGGATTTCTTGAATTATGCATATGTAAGTAAATATCAACAGGGTTTTCTTAACAGTGTTTTGCAGAATATTCAAAATTGTCACATTTTTTGTTATGGAGCTTCTTAGTTTTAAATAAACTAGAATCTTACGATAAACATATTTTTTTTTTTAATTTTATCTCCCCCAGTCCACTTGGCCAACTCAAACACAATGGTCTCATCCAATGACGCCGCCTCCGCGATATGGTGCTCCGGCGTATCATATGCCAACCATTTTACCCGCAACTGTTATGCCGCCAATGCGACCTGCGTTACCGCCTTACGGCTTACCTCCTCAGCCTATGCGTTACGGTGGACGTGGATTAAGATTTCCTCAGCAACATGGGCCACGTCCGTGGCGTCCTAATTTTCGCCCAAAAACACACAAATAGTGGCTGATAAATTTAGATTATAGCTCTAATCATATGCCTAGATAATATCTAAGTAGCATGTTCTCAAGTATTTTCATATATTACCACAACAACTATAAGCGTCGTGAAGTAAAAAAGATGATAGTTTTAATATTTAATGTTCTTTTATTTACAAATATATATATATATATATATGTATCTATATATATGAATAGAACAATAATTTTTCTTTGATATTATTTTCAATTTTTTTGATAAAACTACTGCTATAAAAGAGTAAAAAAAAGAGCATAGAATAAAATAATAAATAGATATGTTGTGAGACAACGTATTTAACTAAATAAAAAGGAAAGCTAAAATTTAGTAAGGACATATAGAAGTCATATATCTTACAACTTAATTTATTTAATATTAAATGTTTAAAATGAGAACATGGATTGAAAAGTAGGAAGATGCAAATTACTCTACTCTTATTTGCTGTTGATTGCAAGGATAAATGCTGGATTTTGATGCATAGTCTTCCGATTTTAGCACTGATATTTCGGATAAGATTTGATAAATGTATTTACATTTCATTTATTGACTTTTGTAAACCACAATTATCATAAGTGCGAACGAATTGTAAGAAGTAGTGTTATTCACTTGTTTTAGTTTGGGGATTTAATAACACTGCTTAGCCGTTTGCTCTTCTTCGTTTTATTAATTTTACATACATACTTTAAACTCTCAATACCTTTTAGTTGTAAATAAATTACAATACTTATTTCGACATTTTCTATTTTAACGCGAAAGTTCATTTCGATTGTTAAACGTTCTATAAAACTAGATATCCTGTTTCTAAGTTCGATTTTTTTTTTTTGCTATAAAACTTAAACCTTTGCGTTGGTATTCACTTTTGATTTCATAATTAACATTACATTTCGTGACACACGCTTTTCTTCCGGTATATTTTGAAATACTTCACACCAGATCAACTCGCGGACGAAATTGTAAACGTAGTGGTGGATCTCTAAAACGCCAGCGCGTTACATACACAAACTTTAAAGTGTGATCCTTGCCCAATAATTCCTCATTGCACAGTATGTCGATCTAAATGGAAAGTTATTTTTTATTATTATTATCAGCTAAAATCTATGTATATATAGCCACGGATGACTAACCTCTCGATATTTGTCAATGCCATTCAAAATTTTTTTGGCAACCAACTTTTTTAAATGTGTTATAGTTGCCTGTGAGCTGCAGCGAATAAAACGCCGTTGGAGATTTTTAAAATTATTGCTCATACACTCGAGGCTTACATTCACTTGCTCATCAAGACGATGGAAATCAGATTCAGCATGTGCTTCGAGCATTTTTTCATCATCATCATGATTTTGTGGCATATCCTTGGGGCAGGGAATGTTTCGACTTTTATAAAAATCTCTTTCACGCCTCATCTCATCTAAATCAATTGTATTAAACATTTAGCATAATCCTTAATTTGTAACTTTCTTAATGAATTACCTTCTTGTAGGTTGGGCACTAGCTTATATACGATATCCTGCATGGTTCGATCAAAGCTGATGTATTGCAGTGGATGCGATTGATGGATGACATTGTCGCAGGTAGGACAGGTCTTCTTTTCCTCCAAATGTTTTACTAAGCAACTTTTGCAAACTATGAACATAAGAATTGTTATAAAAGTTATATTTAAGTATTAGTAACAACTAGTATTATTTACATGTATGCAGACACTCCGTCACTGTTGTAGCATCAATGAAGTAACCACCACATATTTTGCACGTAATGTGCGGATTGATAGTTTTAAGTTTAACACGACGTTCCATGACTTTGTTTACACTTTTCTGCAGTACGTAGATCGCAGTTATACTGCAGAAGTTCAGTAAACATTGCACCTGTGCCCAAGTTACTCAAATGCCCGACGATATATGCAAAGCTTTAGTTTGCGTCACTGTTCTAATAATTATTTATCAGGCACTATTGCGGTTGTTGGAATAACAACCGCAAGAAATTCCAATTTGCCTTGAAATGATTCTGCGAGATTTTAACTTACTATAAATTACATTTGTTTCTTCATTTTTCGTTTTACTTATAACCTAATACGACGATATGAACTTTAAACAAATACATTTATAAATTGAAACACTGATTATGCTATTATGAAAAAGAAAGAAATTAAACAATTATGTGAAACCGAAAAATGACACGAACACGGGTTTTTGTAATAAATTTTTATTGAAGCAATGAAATGATTGATGGAAAGGTCATGTTGGCGGCACTGGTTGTCACTTCACTTCTTTTTTGTTTATTTTCCCCAGACACCTTATACCAAGCTTACAACAGAGAATGTGTAATAAAAAATAACAATAAATAATAGAAAATAATAAATAATTAAAACTTGATTCTTTCATTTCTGAAAAATTTTTAATGCATACACAAATTGGAAATAATATTTTCGAATATCTTGACTTAGTCCGCAATTGAACCTTCTCATTATTATACATTCTCTGCTTACAAGAAATTGAAATCTCAGGTGCGATAAGCAATTTTATTTCTTAACTGTTCATTAATATATTTTGTTTACTAATATCTTTAAATTGGTTTTAACTAATGTAGTTATTCACATCTCTTACACATAGTGTTTTTTTTTTTTGTAGTGAAAAGTTCGTGCCAAAAGTCCCTAAACGTCTAAAATTCGTTTTCCGGAAATCATAATGAATTCAATCAATCTGGCAGCTGTAACATTCTAAATCAGTCAGCTGAAGCCTTCAACAGTCGTGTGAATTTATTGTAATATTTGCTAATTTTGTTATTATAAATAAAACGCGAAGATATCTTCCAGGTATTTAAGTAAAAGTAAATTTTAATGAAAATGCAAATATTATTTTCAATTATTATTAAAAATTGCACTTACAAAAATCAATACATGTCATTATATCGATTATCCGGTTTTAGTTTGGTGTATGTTTGTATGTATGTATGTATGTATATATATGAGTTTTGCAAAGAATAATACATACATACATATGCATATATTTATTGCTTATTTATCTTGTCTTTCAAATTACATTACTTAAAAGCATTTTGTTTGTTAATATAATTGCTATATTTTTTATTTTATACTGGGAATTTGATTATTTTGATTCAAACATTTTTAAAACTTTTTTTTAATCGAACATAATATTTGGCGCGAGCTATGGCACGGAACTAATCAAGATAGACACTCTTGCAACATTCCCCAAAACTAATGTGAGGGATATCTTGCAGTTATGCCTACAATAAGTTCAATGTCAAACAAAATTATAACCATATTACTCTTAAAAATTTATAAGTAAGTAGGTTTTTTTTTGTGTTGTATTTCTTATTACAAGTTCTTTTTGTTTGCAGTCTCTTTACAGGGCCATTGCTTTCTGAATAATAAATGAAATCACGCATATGCACATAAATATAACAACAACAGCAGTACGAGTAATTTATCGCAAAAAGTAGAAAAACTTGTATTTGCTTAACAATCTAACAAGTGTTTCTTTTTCATACTTTGTGCCCCTTCCACCGACAAAGCCACTCTCAGTACGACCTAAATTCTGCGGTATTTTCTGATACACATTCAAGCGTAATCGAATTGTGATTTTTAGTTGTGATTTTCTTCTATCGGTGTTCGGACAAAGTGGCTAACTCTGTAAAACAGTGTATCAATATGATTGGTCGTGTATTGGTTTACGGTGGTAAAGGTGCTTTGGGCGCTGCCTGTGTTTCACAATTCAAATCAAATAACTACGTAAGTGTACGCTTTAAAGCCTTTCATTATATTAAAAATGTCATAAAATGTTTATTTTCAGTGGGTGGGAAGTATCGATCTCAGTGTTAATGAGGAAGCTGATGCCAGCATCGTATTGCCTCGGGATTTGGGTTGGGAAGAACAAGAGGTTGAAGTTCTAACGAGAGTTGGTGAAGCATTGGGTGGAGAAAAATTAGATGCCATAATTTGTGTAGCAGGTGGTTGGGCGGGTGGTAACGCTTCTAAGGGTGAGTTGTTTTAAAAATGATTTTCTATTGTACTTGTCATAGGGCTGTGTATGTTCTTATTGAAAATTTTATATTTTTTTTTTCAGATTTGTCTAAAAATGCTGATCTAATGTGGCGTCAAAGTGTGTGGACATCTAGTATATCAGCTGCTGTGGCAGCGAAACATTTAAAGGATGGTGGGATGTTAACATTAACTGGTGCTCAACCAGCTTTGCAAGGCACCCCTGGCATGATTGGCTATGGTATGGCTAAAGCAGCTGTACATCAGCTAACTCGGTCTTTAGGTGGCAAAAATTCTGGTTTGCCTACAAACTCCGTGGCTGTTGCAATATTGCCAGTAACTTTGGATACTCCAATGAATCGCAAATGGATGCCGAAAGCAGATTTTGGCACATGGACTCCATTAATTGAAGTTGCTGGGTAGTTTCATATGTTATATGTTATTATACATGTTTTTTAATTATAACCAATTTTTCTTTTCAATTTCAGTATCTTCCTCAAATGGACCCAAGGCCAGGAGCGTCCAAATTCCGGAGCTTTATTGCAGCTTATAACCAAGGATGGTCTTACACAATTGGTTGAGGCGAACTGAAGTCCGGCATTTATTATAGGAAGAAAAAAATTCCGACTCCACAGCGTTAGGGAAACATTTTGAATGGATGGATATTTATATTTAATAAAAAAATTGTTGTAGATAAAAATAAAAGTAACCATATTCTGAAAATATAAATTTATAGTTAATATAAGTCTTCAGCGTTCTCAGCATAATCAAAGTACATAAGAAAACACATAAATGTGTTTAATGCTTAAAATTAAAAGTATAAAACACTTTCATTAACATATACATATGCTTTTTGTGTGCTCTTAAATAAATTACATTATTGTGCAGAGATTTTGAAAGTTCATAATTATTTGATAACCTTTCTTATCGCCTAATAAGGCAGGAACAATAGTATAATTCTAATATGTATAGAAATTATGTATGTGCGATGTGTGAAAACTTAAGGAATTTCTTATACAATATAAAAATTAATTGAAAAGCTGTGTCATGAATATACATATGTATATAAAGCATCGATTTCAGTAACTCTACATTATGTGAAGTAGTAATAGATTATAATTCGGAAGAGATTAAAGGAATTGAGAAAAAAAATGAAAATTTAATATAGGACGCTTTATAACCGTTAAAGCTGTATTTCTCAATTTATTGTGTATGGCTCTGATGTTTTGTGTGGATGATGGTTAATACAAACGGAGGGGTTAATATTTGTTACTATAAATTTGCATGTTAGTTCTTCCAGGGTTACCTACCACTTGGTAGTACTATAAGCTAACCACTCAGCTAGTAATGCGTAAATACGTCACACTACGACACAAATATCGTGCTGTGTGAAATAGACATAATAAAATTTTATTTCCAGCCCCATAACTTTCATCTGGCAACACTGCAGGAAGCAAACGTGAGTTCTTTCCATAAAACAGACAAATTTATCAAAATTCCAGAAAAAGGATAAAGTTAAGCTGGACGTCGAACTTCTTTGTTTTGTTTACTAAGCATTTGTAGGGAAAAGATACAAGGGATAGTTTTAGGACACTCGCCTTAAAGCAATCAGTATCTAGCAAAGCTCTTCTAGTAAAGTCGTAGTTGCTCCTCTAGCAATGAATAAACGCAATAATGTAAGTGTACTTGATAAAATCAAAAGGATGAAAAGCTTAATTTTTTACCAACTTAAATATTTAAAAAAATACTTGAAAATAATTTTTTCTTATAATTTCAGATTCGTTTACCCCCTGAAGTAAACCGTTTGCTTTACGTACGCAATTTGCCATACAAAATCACTTCGGATGAAATGTATGATATATTTGGAAAATTTGGTGCCATAAGACAAATTCGAGTGTAAGTATAAAAAATACATGCATCGTATATATATTATTCTCTAATAAATAACGCCGTGCAACATTTTTTTGTTTTGCAGTGGAAACACTCCTGAGACACGAGGAACTGCCTTTGTTGTCTACGAAGACATATTTGATGCTAAAAACGCTTGTGACCATTTGTCTGGCTTTAACGTGTGTAATCGTTACCTCGTTGTCTTATACTATCAATCAAACAAGGCGTTCAAACGACTGGATGTGGACAAAAAGCAGGAAGAACTGAATAATATAAAATCTAAATATAACCTGAAGACTCCCGAAGCACCTTAAGTGCATTCTAGTGCGTTTCTATTTCTAATGTTCTTTGTATTATTTAATTGTGCAAAACAATATACCTCCTGCACAGTGATTTTATTATGAAAAATTTAAAAATTTATAATTCTTGGATTATTTAATGATTTTCAGTTCTAATAATTAAAAATTGATGCGGTTCAATTCATCAAACTCATCTTGTGCGCGTCTTTTTTTTATTATTTTCATCAACTGTGCAATCTTATTTCATCTTCATTGTCACCATCATTATCATAACATCATTCTAATAACAAGCAATAAATGTAAAATTCAATTCCTGGCTTTTAATTCCTGTATATACAGAAGTAAATTATACCCTTATAACTTAGAAAATCCCAATGTTAATGTATGTCAATGTGGCAACCATTGGTAGGTAATATTTGGGAAAATAATTAAGTGACATATGAAATACTCAGAAATACTTAATGACTGATTAAATCTTGGCTAAAGATTGTAAATAAATGAGAATAACAAATAAATCATAACAAATTGAAATGGACAGTGAAAATCCTTATAGTGTTAACACGATTTGTCGCATTTGCTTGGAGTTACTGCAGAATGGAATCTCATACGGCCTCTTTAATATACCCGGACTAGCAAAAAAGCTATTTACATGTACATCCTTATCTGTGGAACTCAACGATGGGTTTCCCCAAAATATTTGCGGTGTTTGTTTAAGGCGTTTAAATGATACGCAGGATTTTCAAAAGATGTGTGTGGAATCAGTGGAAAAGTTTCAAGAAATGGTAGCTAAAAACCTTATTACAGACCAAACTATTGCTCTTGCTGCTCTAGAAACGGGTGATGTAGATGCAAATGATCCGGGAGTAGATGACGACGAGCCATCCGACTTCGACCCACTTCTAAATCATAAGCAAGAGCTAATAGAAAATGCCGAAGATGTTTTTAAAATGTTGAAATGTGTCGACAAAGATGCAGTTGATAACGCAGTGAATGAAAATCTTATAGTTACTGCTCATAGTGATAATCATGTATCTAAGCAGAACAAAATATTCAGCAACGATTCAGATTTTAATGATAATGACGGATCTGATAATGAAGCATTGGCCAACGAAGGAGGAGACAGTGGTTGTAGCTACGAAAGCGATGATGAAAAACCACTAGCTTATCGTTTGCGAAAGTCTCGTTGTTCGAAGAGAGCACTTCGAAATGAAAATATAATTGATGACGGGCTTGATTCATATGAAGAAAGAAATAAAATGGATAAGATTAAGCAGAGTCGTCAATTTCGGATAGCAGGAGAGATATCTTCTGCCAGCAGTATAGAATGTCACGTGTGCCAAAAAAAATTCAGGAAAGCGGAGCGCTATGAGGAACATATGCGGCATCATAATGATAAACTACCCCACCAATGTTCAGTAGAATCATGCCTCAAAGGTTTCACAACAGCCAATGGCCTGCGATTACATATGGAGCATTGTCATGCAGAAACATGTGAAAGTTATCCGTGCCCAGAAGAGGGATGTGGTCGAACGTTTCCTCGAACCCGTTTACTCAATTGGCATTTGCGCAAAGTGCATAAAATTGCGAAAGAGTTGCGGGAAGTAAAATGTTATACATGCAGTCAATGTGATAAAATTTTCCGTTGTCCGATGGCGCTTAAGAAACATATGTATAAGCATGATGGCAAGGAGTTACCCTTCCCTTGTAACATATGTGGTAAACGTTTTGTGATCAATAGTGCATTGAAAGATCATCTAATGAGACATGCGGGTATTAAAAATTACGTTTGCCCTTATTGTGGTGTAGGCAAAACAACCCGACAGGAATGGAACACTCATATCAATACGCATACCCAAGAGAAAAGGTTCAATTGTCCACAATGTTCGTATGCGTCTCACAATAAACAAAATTTGCGAATGCATGTGAAGATTGTGCATGAAAAGATAAAAGATTATGCATGTCAATACTGTGGTAAAACTTTCGGTAAATCAAATGCTTGTAAGATGCATGAAATGACCCATACGGGAGAGAAGCGTTGTGAATGCAAAGTTTGCGGAAAGCGTTTTCTTTATGCTAAAGCTCTAACTAAACATCTAAAGACGCACGAAAAACGTGTTCTACGTGCCATTGAGGTATACCGGAAGCGGCAAATAGAAAACGGTTTCATGCCATCGGATGCTCCTGATATACCAATACCTGAGCTACAATCTTCAGAATCCCACTCACAAGAAGCACATCAAAAAGTCGCGGAAGAGATACTTAAGGTTTGCGCAGAATCCACAGCCGCAATACCGAAAAATCCAAGACGCGTTGAACGCGTCGATATATCTGAGCTGGCTGGTACAGCTGTAAATCCTATCCCATCTGTAGCCGTCCCGTCTTGGTCGCCTCAGATTAATTTTATGATGAAAGAGGGGCCTTATATTTGTCCCGATTGTGGACAAGGATTTAATGGTCAGGGAAACCTGAAACGTCATCATCGCATTGTTCATGAAGGCGTTAAAGATTTTGCCTGCCGTTTCTGCCATAAAAGATTTGCAAAAGCTCAAACTTTAAAACATCATGAGATGACTCATACTGGGGAAAAGCCCCATGAGTGTAGTAATTGCGGCAAACGTTTCATTCAGTACGTAGCATTAAAACGTCATATGAAAATACATATGAGCAAACCACCGCCAGTTATTCCTTCGAGTGTATATGAAGCACGTGAAGAGCTAGAGTTACAAGAGCGTGAAAAGTTGGAAACAAAGCGAAAAAAGCTTGAAGCGCGAGCGACCATTGCTGAACTTGCTCGTGTCCAACTGATCGAAATGGAATTACAAGAGCCAAAGGAAGAAGTGGATATGGGGAAGGAGTGTGCAAAAAAGGAAAATCAGGAATTCATAAAAATCGATCCTATGCTGGAGCTAGAAGCAAAAACGGAAAAAAACTCATGTTTAGGCGATTTTCCACAAATAAAAACCAGTGAAAGTGAAAAGCAACGATTATAAAAGGATCTAAGCTGGAATATTTTTTATAATGTTAGACCTAAAGATGGGGGTTAGATCGCTGAAAGGGTGAATGCTCTTGACATGGATAAAATCCGTGTCGATTCCACTGCGTGGAATCGGCTGTCGTTAGAGTTGTTTTTATAACGTTCGAATATTTTGGACAAAAAGATTTACAATATTTTCATACTAAATAATTGCATATGCACATATTTTAAGCCTCGAATTAGGCGATAAAAGGAATTTTAGAATGTACCAACTATTTAAAAGATACATTGCAGAGGTATTAAATAATTGTATATATTAAAATATTAAATAAATATATTCATTAAGATTTGAATTTAAATTCATAAGCTAAAAAACTGTTTTTTTAAAAGTACTTTTTGGGGAATGTTGCGGGAGTGACAGTCCTTGGCCGGATAAAAATCCGAGTCGTTCCGGTATAAAGACCCGACTGTCGCGGGAACTATTGGATTTTAGTCGCCGCGGGTAAATTCTTGAGCCCCTAACCCGCAGGCGGTATTAGCTACCGATGCTTTCTGATGCTTCAACTTCGATGCCTGACTGATTCCACCGACTCCTTAGCAGACTATCACAAATGTAAAATATTAAATAGTAACCGAACAAAAACTATAATTGCAAAAAATCTTTGATTTTATTTTAATACCAATTTTTAAAGCGTTCAATCGCCTTCAACCAAATCACTATGTGTTTTCGAATGCTTGTATAGTACTCGGGACGTGGCATAAAAGTGCGCTCAATTTGACGTAGTCTACGAAGCTTGTCAAAGCTATTCCATAAGCCACAATTATAGCCGACCATATATGTGGCCCCCAATATACTTGATTCAATGGACGTGGCACGCTCAACACAACTACCTGTAGCATCAGCTAAAAGTTGGCAAACAAAGTCGTTATGTGAGACACCGCCATCAACTCTGAAATAGCATTATGACAACTTTATAGATTGCGGTTTTTCATACCAAATTGCATTTATTTTGTTTCATTACGCACCTAAGCAGCCTCAAAGTGTATTTGCTCTCTTTTTCCACTGTTTCACATAATTGAACGATTCGAAAGACTATGCTCTCCAATATGGCTCGCACCAAATGTTCACGTGTCGTAGAAGGTGTAATACCAATAAAACCCGATGCTGCTCTGTGATCATTTATTGGAGGCTGAAATAAATAAATAGCAATTTTATTGAAAAACAAGAATAGTTGCACAATTGATAGGTCTGCTTACGCCTAAACCGCTGAAAGAAGGTATAAAATAAACCCCATTCGTATCCGACACCGACTCAGCGATTGCTGAGGTCTCCATTGGACTAGTAAAGAAACCGCACTGCTGTGCCCATTCTATCACTGTACCCATGTCATGTGATGCTCCTTCTACACAATAAACCGTTTGGGCACGCTCTTGTATGTCCCTAAATTGCCATGCTACCAACGGGTACATGCCCATCAGTGATGCATGACAATCATTTCCGGTGTTGAGATTGAGAAATGCGCCAGTGCCCAACGTTATCTTTACATCACCACGTTCAAAGCATTGTGAGCCCCATAAGGCGGCGGTTTGATCACTCACAGCAGCTTCTATAGATATGAATGTGTTTTGCCACTCCGGTCCCAAAGCATTTGGATGTATATGTCCAAAGTATCTGTAACCATTATCTACAACTTTAGGCAGTAACCAAGGCTAGAAATATGAAATAAACATTTTTTTTGACAAACTGTTTTTAAAAATCAGATCATATATAATCGGACTTACCTCTATTCCAAAAAGTACCTTCCCCAGAGGCGACCAGCTGAGTGTAAATGGGTCAAATAAACCTGTGGCAGTTGCTGAAGTTATATCGCTGATATGATCAATATTTTTATCTATACCGTTACCAGAACTGTGAAAGGCTGGGTTAATACAATTTCTTAAACATCAAACTTATGTTTGTAAGTTGGCTTTCTAACAAATCTTAATGAACACTTGTGGATTTAGCGATTTGGCTGATATATTTATTGATATTATAAACTAACCGCAATTTGTAGAGTATCCAGGAATCCAGTAGTTCCACACGTGCCTTCTTTCGTTTCAATGCTTCTCGCAGCCTTGGGTTATTTTCCAAGGAATGCAGTAACCTTAATGTGATCTATGTAAAGAGAGACAGCCTTTACTTTTGACTCCATGCTTTGAATAGTAATTTTGTAAAAAGAGACACTACTAAATCTTCAATTTATCCAAACCATTGGCTGCGGGTCCCAATCGAAAAACTTTACTAAAGAAAGTATTAACGAGAACCCCATCGTCTTTGAAAAATAACCTGTCTCAAAGCTGAGTTCTTGTCTGGCGTGGACATTGCTTATGCGTTTACAGCCGAGTGAGCAACAGCGCACTGTTCCTTTCACATTTCGTTGTTTGGCACGAATCGGAAGTACCAAGTGCAGCCATTCTTTCTCCACCTGATCTTTCCTATGACAGTCTCTCACTCCCGTAACCTTCCCCCAAAAAATACCTTGGGGAATGTTTTTTCGGCTACAACAACAACAATACATCAAACACTTTTATAACTGGAATGCTTTTAACCATCCGGACCACATGACTTAATCAGCGGTGAAGCTGTCTCTTGATTCACTAAACCATGCCAATGTCACTGTATACCTCGTGCAGCTCACCGTTCTATTGATTGTGGAATTCGCTTTTATCTAGAAAATCCTATTGTCGACTTTTCAGATGTTCTCATAATCAATGCCTCCATACCATAAAGCAGGATGGGAATGAGGAGTGACTTGTAAATTCTGGTTTTTGTTCATCGAGATAGGACTTTACTGCCAATTCGAGCGTTGGCTGGTTTCTAGTTGAAATTGTTGAGAGATAGACGAAATTATCTACCACATTGATAGTAGCGAACGCCACGACTGACTGTCGTTTGCTACCAGAACCATAAGTTTCACTTACTTATCCAGTCTGGAGAAAGCAGAACACACGGCGAGGTGGCTGATGTCAATGATATCAATAGCATCGAGTGCAGCTCTTATAAAAGAGCACACTTAGGTTCCACACTTAGGCAGCCTCTGCTTTGTTCTTTTCAGGCAATTGATATTGATATCTCTTGGAATTTCATTTTCACTGCCATTCAGCGGGAGAAGACTCAGCGCTTTGAGTCTTACAAAGGTATGCTCCCGTCATGAAACCTTCTGTAAGTCGTAGAACTTTTGAGCATTACCCCTATCAATTTGCTGCTCAAGCTCTTCATACTCACGCATCTCGACCTCATTATATTTTGAAGACTTTGTTCTCTAACGGACCATCTAGAAGGATCTATTAAGTTGGCCGTAGCTTGCAGAAAATGCTGGCAGGATGCAGGTTTGTTATAGGTTTATTCGAAGTTAAGTAGGTATTTCGAAGTTTTGAAAGTATTACTGTTAAGTTAGTTTAAAAAATTGTTAACCTGCTCTCATCGACAAAATCTCAAATTCGCTTTTTAAGCTTGTATCGCTTTTTCCAAATGTACAGAGAGCTCGGCAAAGTTAATTACATATTTTAAACTCAGTCTCAAAAATTAGGAAGCCAGTGCATATTTACCTGTCCATTCATCATTTTCAGAACACTCGCTGCTAAAAATCGATTACTTCGCGTTAGCAAGTAAAGGCCATAGGAAACTATATTCAACGACTTGATTGCCATTCCAGCGTTCCACTGATCCACTAACTCATTCGCACGCAAATCCTTCCATGTAATGAAGTTGTGATAATATTCTTGAGTCTCATGATTCCAGGTAAGGAATGTACAGCGTTGTGTTGATAAGCCGAACGAGGTTATGTCCGTGGGCTTTAATCGTGCTTCTGTGATATTTGAAATTGAATAAAATGGAAATTTCTATATTCTTCTATAATGTTTTTCTATAAAATAATTTATTAATAACTATTTATATTGACATGAAGTTCTATTGTGTTGAAGATTGTAGTCCACAGTCGACGAACTATTCGGACCTACTCAGTTCGGCTACAGATATGGAACAAGCACCACTAAGCAGACATTCTTGGAGAAGACTCGTGCAAAATGAAACAACACACTCCACAGAAACAGGAACAGTAAAGAAAAGGTATCGAAAGTTGGGAAGGGAACAAGATGCCCTTGCAGGCCAAGAAGAGAAGCTGAAACCTAGTATGAAGAAATTGAGTAGAGGGACAAAAGGGAAAAGGCTTCAATATTCTACACAATAATGAAAAAAAACACGCCGGCAGCCGATGACTTAGCGACATAAGGGTAACCAATGTTCATGCTTGAGGCTCTTTGTAGAATGTGGCGCTAACTGCGCCCCTCTTTGAGCCTACTGAAGGGCTCAACCAAGTTTTCCGACAATGTGCCTCTCTTTAGTGAGAATTCGTCAACTTAGTGCTGGAGGAAGAAATAAGAGCTGAACTAAGTAGAGTTCGGATAATTTTCCAATAGCCGAGTACAATGTATGGCGTGTGAAGTGAAAGTTTTTGCGAAAGATTTATATAGGTACCTCTCCGTGTTAGTGACGGTGAACAGCGTAGACAATGGTACATGAGATGTTGTGCAATATATGCCAGGAGAATAACATGGTTTAGGGAATTAAGAGACCGAAAGTACTCACTGTAGTACCTGTCGGGGGATGCAGAAACCTGGCTATATTTGGCGTCGAACGGCTTTCTTATATTATTCAAGCTTATAAAATGGTAATTAATAATTAATTCAACAAATTTTATGCAGTCTTACTTACCCACAACTGCGGCATTGATTACTTTCACAATTTTTCTCCACAAAGATTCCGGTTCGATTTCAAAGTAACCGGGTTGGGGATTTAGCAGATCAACCTTCGAGTATATAACATACAATCACAAAAAGTTTAGAATACAAATAAAGCACTTGAATATTGTTGCTTTTACGGCTAGTGCTTTTTTGTTTCCATAAGCAAAACAAGTCTTCGTAAGTGCCAAATATTTACCTACCCTTTCAGTTGAGGAGCCCAGAACTTCGCATTTCGCATTGAAAATAAAACAGCGCACAGTTGTGGTGCCAACATCCAAAGTCGCTACGAACACCATTTTTTACTACAAAAATACACACATACGTATTTATTATTATTATTAATTGTTTTGATCTTGCGAATATTGATAAATGAGCTATTAAACTATTGGATCGTAGAATTATATAAAAAAAAAAACAAAATGAACTGTTTAGTCGACGCAAACGATCGACGAGTGTACAATCATCGTTTTTTATGGTATAGTTGATTGTTCATTTATAAAATAAAAAACCAACAACAGTTTTGTTAAAAACAATAGCAGTGGGCGCATTGGAAGCAAATAAATACACACGAGTTAGAACTTTTTAAAATACCTCCGCCGGGAAAAATGCCAGTTGTTAACAAGGATCCTCCAGCTAGTTCATCTTCCTTCTATTTTTCGTGTTATCAACTGGTATTTTTAAAACTGAGATGTCCTTCGAACTGCCATTTGTGTGTTCAATTTCTACTTCTAAATACATATATATATATATATATATATATATATATATATATATATGTACATATATATTGAAAATAAAAACAAATTCGCCTGCAGCGATCCTCGAACCATGAACCTTATGCGCACAGGGATACCTTTAATCACTCGGCTATCGTGACGATGTAACGATCAAAGTTCTTTTTCGTACTTCAAGAGAGCGTAACAGAGAAATTATTATTATTTCCGTGACTGGTGCACTGCTATTGAGTAACCAACTGCAATGATTTCCTCTTCAAAACACTAGTACTCAACTACTCTCCCAACAAGAACCTTAAGGCATGTGCTTGTGAATATAATATACCGAAAATAGCCTGGGTAAAAAAAAAGTTTTTGAATCCTTTTTATTAATAACATTTCTAGAATTTAAGGCAAGCCTACGTTCGGGTTGAACCGAACATTAGTTAGGCGGCTGGTCTGTACTATATGGAAAATGGTGGTTGGTCAACTTACGCCTACCAACAAGATTTAAAAATTAAAAGTTCTATTTAAATCTAAGAAATATTATTGGTTCTCCTAAAGCTTTATTCATTGCTCGCCTGATACAATTTACAATTCATACAAAATAGCAAATACCACTGATTATATCCCTAAAAGGGAAGAATGAAGCCGTGACTTCGATACTCCCATCGAAAGTATTGAGATCTAACTGATGGGAGTGTTGGAAGAGGTGTCTTCTCAAGATACCAACTTTTCGAGTTCTCTTTCAGGCTACCCAATCATTGCAGTGTATTTTAGGCCATTATGGAGACAACAAACTACATTGGATCCGAGTTCACAATCAAGGATATCTCCATTTTTAGCGACAGCTAAGTGGCGCTTGGATCGCTTACAACGATTTCAAAATTTATGCAGGTTTGACGCCGTTCTCCGCACAATATGGGCAAACGGAAGAGATTACCTCTCATTTGAGATCCTGGTTTACAGGGACGTAGAGGGAAATTGTAGGACCAGAAGTACTTTCCAGACAAGTTACTTCCCGAAAAAGAACGCATTGGTCTCAAAAGAGAAGACATCACTAAGTTTTAGGAGTCTTAACAAGTCATTGCTCATTAGGATGATAAGCGGTGAAGCTGACAGTAGAACTTAAAAGATCGATGAAGAGGGAGAAACCTCTGCCACTGCGGAAGAACTTGAATTTTTTTTTATGATGACTACCGCAAACGTTTTGTGTGTCCGTTGATGTCCTCGTCAAGAACAGCGATGAACGGAACAAGATTGAATGAGATTTGGTGATGGTAGGTGCCTATCGTCATATGATTTAGTTCCTTATGGTGGACAGAATGTATGTAATACCGCAGGATAACTCTCTCCGGATCGAAGTACATGTTTTTAAGGCGTGCGTATATTTCAAGGTCCTTGAAGGAAGGAAGGAAGACACCATACAACTGTATTAGGAAACTTGCAGAGCAATTCATGGAATTCTGCTGAAAGTCTTAACTGTTATCGTTTCGAGCGCAACTGTAATTAAGAATTTCTTTTGATTTGATTATGACATACATATATATATGTACCTATACATGTGTATGTATACACCCGCGGTATCAATTATCTCTCTTCTTCTTCCTTACTTATCGCGTTTTCTTCATATAGCCCCAGTTATTACGTTAAAACGAGCATGTATACCAACATACATACATACACATGTGAATAAGAATCAAAAAGCTTCCAACTTGCATATACTGCTTACGGACATATTGAAATACGGACTGACGGTAACTTACGTTGCACTCTTCGATTAAATAGTTAATAAAATAAGTTAAACACGCACACACACACGTTGAGCATAAAAATTCACAACACCAAGCAGAGAACAGTCCACAAACAATCTGTAAACAATGCCACGCGCTGGAGAATAAACTGCAACTAAAAGTAAAAGCCGATGAGCTTGAGTTAGTTCACCCCCTATGGGGCTTTTGTGAATGGACAATGAACTTGGCTGAGAGAGCGCCATACAGAGAGGAGACTAGTGTAGATTACAATTGGGTGGAATTACAAATTTACAGACATACATATATACGAATAATAATATATAATAATATGCTCAAATATATATTGTACTAGCTGGCCCGGCAAGCTTCGTCTAATTTGAGGATATTGGATTGGAGAGTGTGGGTCCATCAATTGGTTGAGTTTAATGGTATTTTCAGTAAATTGTATACTTATATTTTGAGATAGCCTCGCCCCATTAAGAGCACTGAAATCCACATTTAATTTAACGTAGCCGCCATGTTCAGCGATTCTGCCTGAACATAGTATGAGTGTCTGGGCATGGTTAAGGTTTCCAGGAGCGACAGTTTTTAAATACACACAACGCAATGCGTTCCTCGGTCTTTCCCAAATCCAATTTCCGGGTAGAAAATTTCTCCTTCTTTACCTAGTCTAAGGCTCCTTATGCACCCATTTTCAGTTGCTGTTTCTAGTTCACTTTTGAAAGAGGAAACTATAATTGATCAAAAAGGTTCAAGCAAACCCAGCCATAAATACAACTTTTTCAGATTGGCTCTAGACCTATTTGCTGGAATGAAAACTACTTCAAATAAGTCAAACCATAATTATAAATAAACTCGACTTAAATATCATATGATTTTTCTATTAAGTCGTTCCCTTTGCGTTGACAACATATAGGGTCATCGTTAGTCGGCTGATTAAACGGATTCGCCATCTTCTTCACACATGATTCAGTCTTGATACTTTCTATTAACCGCCGGGCATATAACCTCTCTTTAAACTCTTCATGATCCACTTCTTTCTGGATGTAAATGCGTTTTGTTATCCTCTTCAACTCTTGACCATGTAGGAGAGATAACATGGTGCACGTCGTGGTCACACGCAACGCTACGAGATAGGTAGTATGTTTTGTCTTCACCGCTTGGCGACAAATCGAGGAGAGCTATTTTTTAAACATTAGCGAAAACAAAGAGTTTCTGTAATGGTAATAGGTAAAGAGAGAGAGAGAGAGAGAGAGAGAGTATGAAATTCCATTCCACAATTTTCTGAAGCGGAAATGTTTTTAAGTGCTATCAAGGAACGGGAGTGCTAGTCGAACTGTCTGTTGTATTTAGAGCTTTTCAACATCCAACCTTCCCTGTGTTCGTTAACGAACGTTGTAGCCAACAATGTCGGGCGAGTCAATAGGCTTCGTATGGCTTTTTTACATTTTTCGTGAGCGAAAGTAGTGTAGAAGTAGTGGCATATGTCGTTCAAAGTGCTTTTGAAAATTATCCCTCCTCAGAGATTATCCGATGAAGATCGAGGAGATAACCATGTGCTTCTCATATTTTTTTCCGTTATATTTTTAATCTTCCTTTTTCGAAATTAAATAAAACACAATACAGTTTCACGGTTTAAGATTAAATTTTTATTTCACTTAGAGCATACACATACGCATACAACTATAACTAGAATGTACAGTGGACCCCCGATAATCCGGCAAACATTATGCAGGGCAGTGTCGGACCATCGAATTTGTCGGATTATAGAGCACTGCCTAAGACCCCTATAGTCCGGATTTTTTTACGAAAGAGTACCTTGTAATCCGACAAATTACATATCTAATGACGAGAGTCTATATATTATACGTACATATGTATGTACTTTGAAGTACAAATCAGACTTAATTTATGTAAGTCGAATTTAGTAAATTAAATAACAATTGAGAGTTTACGTTTTATTATAAAATTACCAAAATAATCAAGAATTATTAATCAAAATCATGTAGTGAATACTATATCAAATTATGAAGCTTTGAAATATTCATCAATTTTTTTTTGTTTAAGGTTGTTATAACGCGAGATCAGAGCTTTGTCCCTCAGTCTTCTCAAAAGTAAAAGTTCGTTGTAGGATGTACCATTCTCTTCAGCCCATTGTAAACCTAGCTCAAAAGCATTAACTGCGTCTTGATCTGTGACTTGTGGAGCAGTTGCAATCACGTCGTCGTTATCTTCCTGATCGTTTGTTGTATTATTAGAAACCTCTTTTATAATATCTTCGTCAGACATTTCAAGAAAAACATTTTCTTCTTTATCCATTCCACGGCACCAGACTTCCAAATCTTCCGGACTTATCTGTGTTTCAGTAGAGACTTGTTCTATAACATCCGAAGTTACACTGATTTGTGGATCGTTGCTAGGAGTGGTGATTATATCTGGCCATAACTTTTTCCAAGACGATTTAATAGTTGATGACGGTAACGCACTCCACGACTGACTAAGAGCAAAAACCAAGTCTTTCATATTAAATTCTTTTAAAGTTTTTTCTATTGGTTGGTCTTTTGATACGGCTCTCAAAAGTAGGTTTTTTTTATAGTCTTGCTTAACAAACTGAATGATGTTCTGGTCCATTGGTTGAATCAGTGCAGTGCAATTTGGCGGAAGAAACATCGCAGTGATGCATTTATCCTCAGTTGTCAGTTCTTCTTCAGACGGATGACCGGGAGCGTTATCAAGAAGCAACAACGCTTTTTGAGGAAAATTATGATCTTTTAACCATTTTCTAACTTCAGGTACGAAGCATTCATCAAACCACTTTTTGAAAAGGTCTTTTGTCATCCATGCACTTTTTTGTCCGTAATAGTGTACAGGTAAATCAATGTTTTTGAATGCCCTTGGTTTATTAGATTTCCCAATGACCACCATCTTAAGCGCGTGTGTACCTGCAGCATTAGCACATGGTAGTATGGTTACACGCTCTTTACTCAATTTTCGTCCAGGTACGTCTTTTTCGTTACAAGAAACGAAAGTTTTGTTAGGCATCACACGCCAAAAAAGCCCTGATTCGTCTGCATTATACACCTGTGACGGGTCAAGATTTAAATCGTTCACCTTTTGCAAAAATCTTAATTTAAAGGGCTCTATGCAGGTGGCATCGTTAGAAAGTTTCTCTCCTGTAATAGTCATTAAACGTATGCCATGACGACTTTTAAAACGTTCTAGCCATCCTTTGCTGGCCACAAAATCATCTTTTTTTGTTATTTCCTTATAAAAAAACTTAGCTTTCATCGCCAACATGGGTCCCGAAATTGGTGCATGCCTGTTTCTTTCCTGAAGAAACCACATGTACAAAGCTTCTTCCACTTCTGGATGTTCACCTTTCTTGAGTGTCTGTCTCTTGCCTGGCCCGCAGTCAGTAGTTGACACGAACTTCTTAATCTTCTCGTGGTTTTTTTTAATGTCATAAATTGTAGATCGGCCTACGCCGTATTCACTTGCTAAACTACTGAAAGTTTCATTGCGATTTAAGCGATCTAAAATATCACATTTTTCTTTAATTGTCAACGTTTTGTGCTTTCGCTTCTGGGTTTGTGACGACATTACTAGGTACTACATATACCTAATACACAATGAATAAATAGTAAACAATGAACGTACGCTAGGCCGTACCGCTATCACTAGTAGTCAAATTCAAACTAAGTAAAACAATGCATACGCGTCGAGCACGATAGCGGTGGCGCGTTCGAGTTGTGACCTGTTCAAACTTGCGTGATCTATATGTATTAGCAAAGATTGTCAAACATAATTCTGTCATGTCGGATTACAAGGGGCGCCGGATTAGACAGGGGCCGGATTATCGGGGGTCCACTGTATATATATATTTATTTCATTTTATACTTATGTGTTATGTATATGCACAAATAATATATATGTTTTAGATTTTGAAGTATTTATGAGTAAATATATTTAGTTGCATGCATTAAAATTTTGTTTTTTTTTTGTTTTGTTTTGAGGATTAGCTACAGTTGCAATAAAAAAAAATCATATTGCCTGAACTTAAGGGGTTACATAGGTCTTGAAACTTCAACAAATTTATTTTTTTTTGATAATTTTTTGTATAAAAGTACAAAGTGTCAGGAATATTTTCCCCAAGTTTTAAGTCGATCGAGACGAAACTGTAGAAATGAGAGAGTTTTATGACCCGCCGTCTTTGTTATGGCTTGACCGATGATAAAACTTTAAACGCGTTTTTCATAAAACCACTTTATCGAATTGGTAGTCATTTCTTTTAAACACCCTGAACGAAGGATTTATTTTATCTTTGATTTCAACTCATTTTACAAGCCAATATGTGGCCTAATTTTATGCAAAAAATTACGTTTTTTGTAAAAAACGCTACAAAAAATTCAATTTCTAAAATGAAAAGGTTATCATGACTACCGCGAAAGCACTTTCTTGTGGACGGTCTACTTCACGACACTGACAACGCTTTAACTTATACTATTTTTCATTCAAATTTTCATCACATGTTGTCCACATATTGTACTTTCATATGTAAACAAAACAAATTGTATACTTTATTTAGTATCTTTTAAAAAAATTTGAGAAAATAAGTTTTTTTTGGCCTTCAAGACCTATGTAACTCCTTAAAAAATAAAATAAAATATCTTTTTGAACATAGGACTTGTGAGAGTTTAAGATTTCAGTTATTGCCTTTTTCAAATTTAATTAAATTAATATGGAAATTTTTCTACAGAGAAATGCGTACATAATATATACATAAGTGTAAGCGAATAAGGTTTTCAGTTTTCAAATTATCAGATAATTGTATGCTATTCGCTATATTGGTAATTGGAAATAAGTTTGAAATCATATATCTTACGCTCAACTCAGTTTTCATGGTTTCATTTTGTAATTTTAGATTTTTTGCTTGTGGTGAAATACTATGTAAAAAAAAAACAATCTAAATTATTGTTTCAACGAATTTTTCAGTTAAAACTTTTCATTAAATCTGAACTTTTGAAAGTGTTTTGCCATACGAATTAACATTCAAGTTTGGTTTTGAATTGAAGGTTTCTGCATTTAAAAATTTGCATTCATATATTAATTGGCCAGTTAATAACCGTACACACATACTCGTATGTATGCAACTTTATTATTTCCAATTCGGACAGTGGTATGTATTAATATGTATGTAGTATGTATTTATACAAAAGTAAACAATTAGGAACAATTACAATCATTTCTTTTCTTACTTATAGCAGGACGTGAAAACATTTCTATTATCTTAGTCACATATTTCGCAAGTAAATGTTCCAAAAAGTAAATACTTTTATTTTATGAAATACAAATATCAAATTAAATTTTATTTTATGCCTCAGTTAATCAATATACATATTTAATATGAATATTACACGTTTATTTAATTGGTTTTTTGTTTTCTTTTTCAATATATATTTGTTGCTTTATGTATGTGGTTTGTTTTATTTTACATATGTATGTACTTGTATGTATTGTATATGCATGTATTTATCGGCTGTGTTGTGCTCAGCCTTGTTGTGTGTATTTTTATTTTTCTTCTTTCTTATTACCAATATTTAATTATGTATTGAGAGTGAGAAATAAAAAGAATTAAATAGAAAAAACTAATATTTTTTTACGCTCCTAATGAGTGGCTACAAACATATACATATAGAGATATATATAATATAGGCCGGCCTTAGCATTCACTTTTCATACATATTCTTTAATAATAATGCGATACATAAATTAAATACATTAAATATACTATATATAAGAGTATGTACTTAAAATTGAAAATTTCCCTAATCGTTTGAATTTTGTTGATGTTTGTTCTTTTGTTTCACTTTACTTTTGCTTATACTTATTTTGTATTCTTATGATTCGCTTTGTTTATAGTTTGCATTCAAATAATTTTTATTGTTTCAAATATAAATAATTTTTATTTTCTTCTTTTTGTTTTTTTTTATATTTTACTTATACGTTAAGTTAAAATCACCCGAGATATATACGCGAACGCGACCAAATTCCGCGATGAATTTGGCTTAGGTACATACGAAATCACGATTATTTACGTTACGCTATTTTTATTTTATATTTATTATTTTAGTATTTGTTTTTATTTATTAAATATTAGTAGCTTTTTTTTATTTATTTATTGTTATAATGTTTGGTACATTTAATTTTTGTAATACTTTTTACACATGTTTGCTCCAGCATTGTTTATTGTACTAATCCGTAAAATGTGTTTGAGACAGTTCTATTTTGTAATGTTGTTATTTTTGCTTCAGACTGACTGTTCATATATTGTGTTACTGTTAATTTCGAAACTGCGATTGTTGGTTGGAGTATGTGTGTGTGTGTGTTATGTGCAATTTTGAATTTTCTCTATTGTCATTAAAATTAAATGCCCAAAAACTTTGTTTTGTTTTAAACAGATCGTTCGCTGTCAAAGGAAGTGAAGAAAGGAGCGCGCTTTCGCGCCTTCAGTGAGTGTTTTCATGTTATTTTTTTAAACCAGTTAGATTTTGAGCACCAAAAGCTCTTGAATTAACATCAAAAGCGCCATGAAAAGCTTAATAGTCTTGAAAAATAATATTTCTTGGTTTGACAATTTCCATTATTAAAATTTCGACAAAGAACATCTGGATATTTCGAGTTTTTACATAGTAAAGTTTCTACTGCTGCAACTGTAAAAGTATTCAAACTTGCTCGTTTGCAAACATTTCAGAACAACAACAGTTACGAATACAACTTTACTATTAAATAAAAAACTTGTATTTAAAATTATATGTTCGTACATTATGTACATTTTGGCACGCATTAATTTCAATTGGTGACTAGTTCAATTCTAATAAACAAATCTAATGATAATAATTTAAATTGTATTTTGTATGTTTTCACTTGTCAATTGGCTGTTTTTACACTCAAAAGTTAATTTTATGTTATTGACAAAAAATAGAAAAGAAAAACACTTCCTTTAACGTTGTGTAACGATCTACTTTTGCTCTATTTTTTTATTGTATTTTTTATATGTATTTTATTCAGTTTATTATGTTATAGTAGAGATTTACTTAAATTGGGATCCGGGGGCGGAGATCCTTAAATATCAGTGCATTAGTTACCGCGAACACGAAAGAGAGTATACCGACCGACCGAGTGTGTACCGTACGACGAACGAGTAGTATTAAATACGCGACTATATTTCTTATTAATTCATTACTATTTCTATCCCCCCTACATAAACGTTAATATTTTTTTATTTTATTTTATATTTCTCTTTTTTGCTTTTCAATACTATTTTATATTTAAATGTATATATTCCTCAAAAAAATAAGAAAATCTAACAAAAAAAAAAAGTATATATTTTTAGTTTTACTTCCAGTTATTCATTTGCATTTGCTTTTTAAGTTAATATCTCCATAAAAAATCTAATTACTAAAAAGTCTTTAATGTACACGTGTTTTGTAGGTTAGATATTTTAACTTTAGAATGTTTCACTTTTTCATGTAAAAAAAAACATAAAATGTAATGTTGTTGAAAAACTGAAATAAAGCAAGACAATTTCAGTGGCATTTTTGACTTAAAAAGTATTTGCATTTGTAATAAACAAAAAAAAAAAATATTCTATTACTGGCATCACTTGTTAAATATTTCAGTATCGATAAAAAAAATTCACTAAATAAATTAAAATATTAATAATACTATTGCCATCATATAAATAATTATATGTAAAGAATTTATTTAAGTTACACATTTTATATGCATTCAATTATTTTAATTTAATGCGCACCGTTAGTCTTTTAGAACCGAATTTGTTTATTTGTTGTTTTACCGCTATAACCGATACCGTATTAACGACAGCTCCCGTATATGCACGTACATACACTGTGGACGAAAAGCTAATAACCGAACGAACGAACGACGACGAATATTACGCGAAACGCGAAACCGATAAAACCCGAAACGCGCGCGACCAACATACGAATAATACGATTGAAAGAGCATGAAAGGCATATGTGAATATTATTCATTGCAAGCTGAATATAATAAAATATATATATATATATATATATATATACATAAACCAATCTAAAAAATCTTTTTTTTTTCAAGAAAATATTGTTAATTTTTCTTTTGCATTTTGACGGTTACTAAATGTTGATTAAATTTGTCTTGGGCATAATATATTAATATCTCATAGATAATGTCAGAATATAATTTGAGTAATAATTTTAAATTTTCTTGATGAATATACATAAAAAAAAGGTAAAAAAAAAAAAAACTGTTAAACTTTAAAACAGCTTAAATATTATATGTGACTTTCCAATAGATATATTCAAATCTTTGGTAATTCATCTGATTTTCGGTGAGAAACTGTAATTCGAAAATACTTTTATAACTTGAAAGTACAAAATTTGTGAAACAAAAAATATGTGCAGGAAGCCTCTTAAGTAGTGAAATTTGTAGCTAATTGATTTTCCCAAACCAATGGAACCCTTGCATGTATCGCAAAGATTCTCTCAGGTATTAGTACACCATCATTATTTCCCAAGAAAATCGGTCATATTTTACGCAATTTTTTGTGTTGATAAGTTTGATAATTGAAAAATAAATAAAAAGAAATAAAATTTTACAAATATTAAAATATAAAATAAATGCAATAAAAATGTTTGTGTCTTAAATACGAATTTATTCACTTCAGTCTTTTAAAAGAAAAAAATCAACTTTTGAGCTATTAAAACATAAACTCGAACATATGTAAGTGTCTGAAAAAAATACTTTCGCTTGCAATTTTCACACATGACTTTACCCTTTCATAAAATATTTTATTTGATAATTATATAATAATTAAGTATATCACGACAGTGTGTTTGTATACGCGACGCGACGACACGATGACCCGAACAAACGAACGGATGATGTATTTTACTATATTATCCACTTATAGTATGTTAATCGATCAAATTATAGACCGAAGTTATAATAAATAAAATATTTTACCTACAATTTGTTGCTTTTAAATTTTTAAAATTACTATAAATCCTACATGAATAGTTTTGTAATTAATGAAGCGAATAAAAAATATACAGAGAAGTTATATGTTTCTTTAGCGTGTATTATTAAATACCATAGTTTGTGCCTATTTTATATGTTTCTCGTAAATATCAAGTACATACTTTAAAATCTAAATACAATTAAATTTTCGCACAACTTTCAACATTGAATTTAAAATGGTTTCTCCATGTTAGTTTAGTACTGTTAAATACGATTCAATGTTTCGATATTTATATGTGTGCATATAGAAAGTTAAGTAAGTTCAAATTTAAGATTTTCATTATTTTTTGTTTTTAATTTGTGTAATTAATGAATGCATATATATATAGTTATGTATAATATATATATTGCATATATATAATTATGTCAATAAAATATCAGTATCTATATGAAATTTTGTATGCTCGCAAAAAGTAATTGGTTTGCCCAAAAATTCTTTGTCCCAAAATTATATCAAATTGGTGGTGATTAGTATGAGATTTTTATTATTATTGAAGAAGAACTTTGATTTAAAAATTTTGTTTCAAGCCTTTTAAATTATTTTTTTTCTTTTCACCAATCTTAAGCCCTTATTTATATTTCTTATTTCTTTTTTACGATCTCAAACGTATTTATTGTTTTAATATTATTATTATTATTATTATTTTTGCGTAAAGGTTATTAGCAACATACAGTTACAATAAAGTATTTGAGTACTTCTAAATTAATACCCCATTATCGCAACTTCCACATATATGTACATATATATATATAGAGAAAGTGAACTTGCGACTGACATTCATATTTATTAACCTGTTATTTAAGCTGCGGAAAATGAAAACAGACTTCTCTCCTTGGATGTTCGTACGCTAAATTTTTCGCCAATTTGCTCAGTTTCTCCATCTTCAATTATTTTTTTTACTTACTCCCCTAAATTTGTTTTAGCTTCTTTTCTCTACCGCCAAGCGCAGTGGCTTTGGTTTTGCATTTACGGTTCTTCATTTAATACCCCCAATATGCCAATATCCGACACATTCACGCTTTAAATATTGTACATAGCAACAAGACGTTCAGAAAGATTTTGCGGAAACTGATCCACAAAACGGCGCCAATTCTCTTCACCTACTTGTGACTTGAAGCCATGCAATATCTTGAAAATATACGTAAATGATATGTTATTTTCTAATACATATATTATTCCAATATTAGTTTTCAATTACCTTTTGTATCATTTGATGCAAGTCTTGCGGCGGATTTACCCATGAGGCCACTGCATCGCAGAAGAATATGAAGTCTGGCACAACACCGCCTGGATTTACGGTAATCATGTGACACATTCCACGAAAAGCAGAATCCTTTTCGTCATTATCCCTTATATGACGCAGAGATGTACACCTGTGTGAAGAGAAAGTAGTGAATATTTTATTGCATACGACTAACCGCTATAATTTGTATGATTTTTTGAAGCCGTAGTAGAAGATTTTACAAATGTAAACCGAAAAACACTTACTTTTGTTTCTTTTTTCTTCTTTGAAATGATAAATAGTACAAATTATAATTGTTTTATATTACATGAAAAATTATAGGTATATAAATGCGTGGTGAAGGTTAATTCTGTTTAATAAGTTTTTTAATGCAGCAATTAGGGTTTAAATTTATTATTATTATTTTTTTTTTCAAAGGAGAGGAAAAGCTTGAGTTGTAAGTGAGGTAAAATAATTGAGGACCGGTATAATTAAAATAAAAAAATTGTATTTTTAACATATAAAAATCATATATAAAGTGTTACACACCACTGTCGTACAAATTCTGGCAAATAAGGAGCCACTTCAACTGGGCACACATAACCTAGACGACCGATTGTTATTGCTAAAAAACAGAAAAAACAGAAATAAATGAAAATCATAAATTATATTACATATGCGTTTCACAAATATACAAATAAGTTACATAAATCTTTTTAAATCAATAATTACAATGGTTAATCAAATATATAATTATAAAATTTGCTATCCAACTGAAACCATCAATTGTGAACGTTTAGATGTTTTTTTTTATGAATAAACGAATATGCAATGAATGTTGCTACATTACATATATGTATCCATGTATATACTATGTATATTTTCATTATAGAACTGCATGTTACAAATTACATTACAATACAAAGGAACTTAAAGATAAAAAAATATCAAGCGGTTTACATCTCAAGTGTTTATTATTAGGCATTTAATTGCAAACGATACACAGTTATAAACAATCGCTTTAACGGATGATTAAATCAAGACAAATCATATTTTTGAATTTCATTTGAAAATTATAAAGACTTGTTAAATACCGTTAAACGGTATATTTTTATGAAAAGCTTTAAGCATTCAACATATTTCCATGTCAAGCAATCCGGTAACAAAAGTGATAAATAAATAAAATAAAATTACGTATCAAATTTAATGAGCACTGGAACGAGGCAAAGATAAACTCAGACGCTGACATTGGAATGAGAGCACATAACACATTGTCTTGATACTTTAAAACATATGAATCAGAAAATAACGCAGTCACTTCAACTTTATAAATTTATTTGATTAACTTCGCCTTTGTGCTGTGATTTGCTAAAAAAAAAAAACAGTGCAATTATTTGAAAAAAAAAAATTGCTTATTGCACTGTGTCTTTTTTCTTAATTTTGTACGGAACAGACCATGCACTCTCAAATGAATTTAGATAGTTACAGTTGAATTAAGGCGTATTACATGTGGAAACAAAAATTGTTCGTTTTTATATATATATATTTTTTTTGTAAAACATATCAATTACATTACATACCAGTATTTTCCAGCAATGTTTTGGGTGTATTCGGTCTGTTTATAATTACGAAGAGTTCATTGAGTACAAGATGTATGTACTGACGGGTTTCTTCACCTATAAAACCATTAAGTGTTTATTAACATGTATGATTAAGGACGCATTTAATTATTCTTCAACTAACCCAACTTCATGCATATTTCACCAATGGCCCATGTTGCATTATTACATACAGAAATGTAATCGGGATTTAAATTTTGACCCAAAATCGGGAAAAATTCTGACATAAAGGGATGTACATGTTGGAAACAAGCTTTGGTTAAGTCACCAAGTAATGCAAATGATGATTGTCGTACCTGTGAGTTACAATATATAACGAATATATAAAAAAGGTTCATATATGTACTATATCCATTTGATTTTAAGTCTTTGCTTCGATATAACAATACTTACTTCTGGCAGAACATCTTGCATACACTGATACAGCAATTGCATTATATTACTTTTGACCACTAATGATTCAATATGTCCATCTAAGCCTTCGGCTAAGCCTGACAATAAATCTAATGCAACAATCATGCGCTCTTTATCCGGATGCTCAAATCCCGGATTCGATTTACACGCCTAAAGATACAAAAAATATTGTTATCATTTTTTTTTCTTCAAACTCTTCTAATGTGAATTTACCATGTCTTGATTCAGTGTTTGTTCGATAAGTGATATGCAACGTTGATAAACTGGGTCACAATATGGTAAGAATCCAGATTGTAATGCGGTTGCAATGCTTGACAAACATTCCAATAAGGGAAATAGATCTTTGTCATCATCTTTCAATAAGTTCCATTTCTCGATCAGCGGTGGCATTAGTATATCAATGTATTGTGGTTTATTAAGATGATGGCCAACGGAGTCGGCTAATGTGCCAACGGCGTCGTATAAAATGAGCAAATTTTTATGTTGATATTTAGAGAAAGCAAACACAAGAGTTTTCAATATATACTCCAAATATGGCACCAATTCGGTGCAAGCCTCCTCCTCTAATGTAGCGAATGCCGAGCAAGCTGCCTCTTGTACACGCTTATTAGAGTCTAATATACGCTTAAGCAATTCCTCCATTAATGGTTTCAAGTATTGATCATGTGGTTGATTTACAACCCAATTAGCATAACGTGATAATGTCCAGCAGGTGATAGAACGCACCAGAGCTTTTTTGTCCGACAGACAGCTGATCAAGTAAGGTATCAATTCGGGCAGATGAGGTATCATACCTTGCATGCAACCTTCTGCAATAGCACCCAATGCGAGAACACCGCTTTCCTTTATAACCCATTCTTGATGAAAGAGTGTGTCTTTAAGTATTGGTAAAACAATGGGTAGACATTCTTCGCGGAAGACATTTGCTAGTACGTCTAGCGCTGCTGCGCTGCATTTACGCAAATTCCATTCAGAAAGAGAGCTATCATCATCGAGTACATCGTCGAAGTCATCATCGTCTTCATCCACACCGGTTTCCCCAGACTTGACTGTGTGTGTGCGAGATTTATGAAAACGGGGCCGTATGTCTTCTTCACGATCGGGTACCATATCATCCTCTTCAACATTTCCTTTTAATAGAATAATATCAATTTCAGAGTATCGCATGCCACGTACTAACACTGGTGCTAATTGTCCCAAATAGGGTGCAAGGACCTCTTTGCAAATATTTTGCTCTGCAAGTGATAGCCAAAACTCTGATGCTTCTAATGCCACACCTTCATCTGGGTCTTGTGTACGTATTAACATATACTGATAATATAAAAATTTATGTGATTGTAATGTTTATAAATAATATTTTAGATTCATTCTTACCTCAATGATTTGTGCCATATGCGGCAACAAACGATCCATGCGAACTTCCAACAGCATGACCAAACCATGGCATACATTCTTTCTAACTTCATGATCCTCATCAGATGATAGATTGAATAAACTCTCAATAAAAGTGTCTATATGGAGCATTAAAGCTTGTGAGCGATTAACAATAAATTGATTAATACAAGCAATAGCATGTGAACGTATCTTTGGGCTGTTGTGACTGAAGTATTGTAAAAATTTTGGAATCATTACATTTAGTGGACGATTTAATGCTGCAGAATCAAGTATTTCAGCAGAGTCTTCGCAAATTTTCTGTAGAGCACTGAATGCACCTTCACATACATTATAATCTTGTGAATCTAGCATATCGCATAATGAGGGCAATAGTTGTGGCCAATTCTGTAGACCGCCATTGCTGGCGATGGTTGTAATTAATATACCGACAGTGGCACGTATAAGTGCTGATGGATCGCCAATAGCTTGTAAGCATTCATGTTTAATATATTCGACAATCTCGGGTTGTAAGTTGTTGCCATGAATTCGTATGTTATTTTTCAAAATCAAACCGCTTAAAGAACGTGTGGGTTCATCTTCGCTTTTCAGTTTAGTCAGTACGTAGATAAGATAATTATTGAAATCGGGATATTGATTTAATTCCTCCAGTTTCTGTAAATATATCATTATTATATTTTTTTGTATAAATTTAAAATATGGTAACTTTTAATGGGTCGGGGTGTTTCATAGGTTTCAAATGTATGAAAATGGATCATTTGTCTCTTACCAGTTGTACAGCCATCTGAGTTGCCGTATCCGGCGACTGAGATTGCTTGAGGATTGTAATTATTTGCTGTAAACCTTCGGCTTGCGGTTCCCACGTCATCTTGTTTTCTTTTATATTCAGTTGGGGGTGAATTACCTGTAAAAATTTTACAGTTGGGTTAACTTTCAATGCGAATCGAAATTGAAGGTCTACAGAAGGGTGCGCGCTGGTGTCATGCGCGTACATACATACATATATTGGAAACGCAGACACGGGTGCGACCATTTTAATAAATACACATTTATTTCTTTGAAAAATTAATAATTTGTACTTTATGTGTAATTTGTAAAAAATATATAATTTAAATAAAAGATAGATCGATTATACGAAAATTAATGGTAAGATGTTAGCACCAAGCAATGACATGTCATTCACCGTTTTTTCATAAGGTTTTCACACGCTTTTTTTGTAATTATAATTTTTCCAATTAATATCATAAAGCCATGAAAGCTTACCTCTGATAAACGCACTAAAAATAGATTACACTTAAATGTTTTTAATTTGGCGATTTTTATAACTAAAATGATTATTTTTCCGCAATTAAAATATTCTTTCACTAACTTTTCTCTTTTTGCCTTCTTGTCTAGTTTAATTTTTTCAGGGAACAAAAAACTTAAAATGAAGTTTCGACTTTCGTGGCCTCAGCCGCGATCCCTCTCTAGCTTGTTTGAAATATAAGTTGTACGAAAGAGATGGCCCGATGTTGTAAAATTTTGTGAGGGATGCCAATGTCCAGTGTTATTTATTTTCTCGTTTGAAATGCTTTGTTAGAATTTAGAAGAAAAACTGTGTTGACATAAACCACTGTAGGTTACAGTCCTTTTAAAACCATGAAACACTGCAAAACCATGAAATCTAGTTATTGTGATCTTGGTTTACTAACAAATTTCTCCATTTACAAAAAAATTATAAATCTCGTGCACACTCTGATTATTTTGTTGATAGCAGAGAACGTATAATTATAGTATTAATATTATTTTTTTTAAGAAGATACAGATAAAAGTTGAAATATATGATTAAAATTTGAGTTTTTCATTCTTATTCTGAAAATTTATTAATGCATACACATATCGTTATTATAAGTTCTTTGTGAAACGTGATATATAAATCAGTAGTAAAAAGTTGCCAAATCTAAATCGATAATTTTGTTTATATCGATTATGACGATAACCAATCATGATTCTAGCAGAGAACGCATATTATTCTACATTCTGTGACATATAACAGACGCCGGGAAGCTGTCTTGAATTTCTATTACTATAAAGTGTGTTTTCCAATTTTCTTTCATTTTTGGAAAAACTTAACTTAAGTTTAAGTTCTATTTAATTGAATTTATTTGAATATAGTATAATAATATGTCCGACGATGAGGACCTTCAATATGTTAAAAGGCAACGCACCCTTCATTATGGTTCCCTTGAGGAAGTAGAGAGAAAGCGCCTGGCTTTATCTGCTGCTGGCGCTCCAGCCACATCAATTGCCACCACTTCTGGTGGAGTTACCAATCAGCTTGAAGATATCGAATCCGACGAAGATTACGAGGAAGTGAAGAAACCTTCTGCACCAGCTCTACCGCCGACGTCAGGCGCTTTAGCGAATAAGATTGATGACGATTACTTTGATCTGGAAACTGAAGTGGCTAAAGATAAAGAAGCGTTGCTTAAAGAATTTGAACGTAAGAAACGCGCACGACAAATAAATGTTTCCACTGATGACGCGGAAATAAAAGCTAACTTGCGCCAGTTAAATGAGCCGATTTGCTATTTCGGCGAGGGACCAGCTGAAAGACGCCGACGTTTAAAAGAGTTATTGGCCAGCTTAGGAGAGAACGCGATTAAGCAAAAACAAACGGAAGAAGAAGAGCGCAAACAACTTCAAAAAGAGCAAGAAACAACTTGGTATCACGAAGGTCCCGAAGCGTTACGCATAGCCAGAATTTGGATAGCCGATTACTCACTGCCGCGTGCCAAAGATCGATTAGAACATGCTCGTTCTCTCCTGGATATACCAAGTGCGACACGCGCTGGCCGTTTGGTAGAGCTACAAAAGCGCTTGCAATCACTGGCGCCGCAGTGTAGTCAAGTGGGTGATACGCGCCCTGTTAGTGGGGTGGCATTTAGCGATGATTCCAAACTGCTAATGACATCTTCATGGTCGGGACTATGTAAGGTGTGGACAGTGCCCGATTGTAAGCAATTGTTAACGCTGCGTGGGCACGCAAGTTATGTTGGTGGTGTTGCCTTCAGACCAGGCGTAACGCAAGACGATGGAAATGTAGTGGCAATGGCTTCGGGTGGACATGATGGCGCGGTTAAGCTGTGGGGATTTACATCCGAAGAATCACTGGCAGATATTACCGGCCATATGCCACATAGAGTATCTAAGTTGGGATTTCATCCATCTGGTCGTTTTCTAGCAACAGCTTGTTACGATTCATCATGGCGTCTTTGGGATTTGGAACAAAAGACAGAAGTTTTGCATCAAGAAGGACATGCCAAAGCTGTACACTGTCTTAGTTTTCAAATTGATGGAAGTGTTATCGTAACAGGTGGACTTGATGCTTTTGGACGCGTATGGGATCTAAGAACTGGTATATAAAGCGAATTGAAAAATAACAATATTAAGCATATGAAAAATGTACATATATACATATATTTTTTATTCATTCTTTAAATTTTAGGTCGCTGCGTAATGTTCCTGGAAGGTCATTTAGGGTCGATATTCGGTGTAGATTTTTCACCTAATGGTTTCCATATAGCAACTGGTTCTCAGGACAATACTTGCAAAATTTGGGATTTACGCCGTAGGCAGCCAGTTTATACAATACCAGCGCACACAAACCTCTTATCGGATGTTAAGTATCAGCGAGATGGTGGCAGCTTTCTAGTGACTTCCTCCTATGATTGCTCAACAAAAATATGGTCAAACAAAACATGGCAGCCTCTTAAAACGCTCTTGGGTCATGATGGAAAAATTATGGCCGTAGATATCTCACCAGATTCACAACACATTGTAACGGCATCTTTCGATCGTACCTTCAAGTTGTGGGCAACGGAAAGCTGATGTTGAGCTTGTATTAGCACTCGTTTGGTGGCTTACATCTCATAGTTTAGGTTTTCAGTTATCATTAACAAATAACATATAAAAAGTTATGTAATTTATTTATGTCACACTGTTGAATATGATACGAAATGTTAATATTGTTAAACTCAATACCGTTTTATCACTTCGCAATGCGAATATAAATTTTTTTGTCTCTGAATTCAATGACAATAGACCTAAACTTTTTTACGGAAGACTGTTGAATTAGCAAAAAATAAATATATTCAAATCTTTTACCTAAATCTTTAGTTTGAAAACGTAAATGTAATTGTACGTTTTAAATACAATAAAAAATGGTGTTTTGGTGAAAAGAAAACTTATTAGATAATAAAACCAATTTGTTATGACTTTAGATGAAACAGATTTTTTTTTTAATGAATGGAGGTAAGCTATATTTTTGAGCTTCTTAGGGTATGTATCGTATAAAGTTTTCAATACCGTCTCAGACAGCTTTCTAAGCACTAATTCTTAACCTGAAATCTAAATACTTTACCTTGGAGTACAATTTTAATTAGAAAATGTGAGTTTTAGGTTTTTTTCTATATACTTTTTTATTTTTTCCAACTTACATTTATAATTACATGTATGTATGTATATATTTATGTATATATGTGTGTATATGTATGTATGTATATTAAATTGTAACTAAAATTTATCTACCACAGATAGGTTGCATTACATTAAAATTCTATACATTCAATATAACTAGAAATTAAAAACATGCGAAATAAGTTGTAATGTAGCTATGTTCGCACATGTGTTTGTATGCGGGAAAAGGCTGTATGCAAATTTATGGGGTGTTCGAAAAAATGTATTGACTCGACTAAAAAAATTGAAGTGAGGAAATTGCATTTTTAATTAAAAAAAAACAGTAATTTGTAATATATGTACATATATATGCACGTTTGCAAACAATTTTTATATCAAATAGTAAGGAAACGTAAATATTTTTTTTACACATTCGGTTTTTGGAGCAATATATGTATATGTATATGTACATACACACAAACATAGTATTTTTCAATTATCATTTTACCTAATTTGGTTTTTGAATAGAGCACAATCTAAACATTAATCAACATTTAAGAATATATTTGTGTATAGTTTGTTCTCAATTCATTTTAGCTTTGCAAATAGTTTTTTTTTATTATTATTATTTAAAGTTTATAATAATTTTAGTCTATAACTGAGATTTATTTTGTTGATAAGTGTTTATTTTAGATAGTACATGTGAAAGTATATGTATATGCATGTATGTATTTGTGTAGAAGCTAGACAATTATTATTTATATTTTTTATACGTTACCTTTCACTAAATATATGTAAATATAATTTGCAAGTAGTTTGACGCAGATAAATATTTTTAAGAAGGAAGTGATTCAAGTCTTAAATCTATGTACATACATAAAAAATAATAAAACAAAATGAAAGCAAAACCAAAAAAGTAACATTGATGTATCTATGTGCAGGCATACATAAAGGCGTTTCAAATCAGCCGTAACATACAAATGCCATGCCACGACAAGCATAAAACAAAACAAAAATAAGTAAATTATAATTATAAAAATTAATGTAAATATTTATAGGGTAAAATTTCTGATTGAGGGTTTCTTGCATGTTGAAAGACGAACTTTGTTTTTCTTTACGTTATTTTATAATTTTTTATTAGCATTAATATTATGTACTTCAAGAAAGTGGTATTTTTTTTTTACTTTCTTACTCCCCTCTATGCTTGTGTGCATTTTATTAGAATTCCGTCATTGCGCTATTTTTATTCTATATTATGTGATTTGTAATAGTTTTATCATATACGCATGAGCTTATTTAATTATTACTTTATTAAATTTTGTTTTACTTTATTTAATTTACATTTTTCCGTTTCTTTTTATTTTAATTTATTTTCATTTATTTCATTTTGCGTTACTATTTTTCATTTTATTTAACTTTTTAATTTAATCAACTAATTTTATTTTATTTATTCTATTCGATTTTATTTTATTGGAAATTATCTTACTCTATTTTATTTTAATCCAATTTACTCAATGTTATTCACTTTACTTTATATACTTTATATACTATATTTTATTTTATTTTCTTTAATTTCTTCAATTTTCATTGAATTTTATTTTACTTTATTTTATTTTGTTTCCTTTTGTTTTAGTTTATTTTATTTTCTGTGTATTGTTTCCTTTCATATCGCTTTTCTATTTTATATTTCATTTCATTTTATTCCAATTTTTTTTCATTATATCTTGTTTTATTTTCTTTTATTTATATTTTCTTTCAGTTTTGTTTTTAAATTTATTTTTATTTTCACTTATTTGGATTAATGAATTTATTTATTTTGATGCATAGTTTTCTGTTTGCTGCCTATAACTATATTGTGATTAACTAAACTTGAACTAAACTAATTAATAAATCAACTATCAACAATAAATGCAGTAAATCGCATTTTTCCACTCTTTCTTTAAATTATTTTTATCAAAGCAGTTGTGTGCATAAGGTTCACCATCATCCACACTTCATTGTACACAGAGACTTAAATTTTTGTGCGTCTGGTCTAAGAATATTTTCGCTTTCACTTCTTTTACATCAATGTGTGTACAGACATATACATATACTCGTATCAACTAATTATCTTCTTGAGTTTTCTTTTTGTTTTTTTTTTTTTTTGTAGTTTTGTTTAAAGCGAATAAAACAAGCAGGTGACTAATAAGACACTCATTTAAATTAAGTTTTCCGCTTGTTTGTTTTCTTTTGTTCATTTCAGCTACAAATGTCAACAGCACTCCTGTTCCCGCTATGTGTGTATGCTCTTCCCTTCAAACGCTTGTGTCCGGCGCAACCATTGACTTTTTGCACTCAGTCTCAGCGGTTGTCTGCTTGCCAGGCGTTTCATTACCGTCCTCTGGCGTGATGTCAATGCGATGTGCTTTGCTCCAGACCACCAAATCCATTATGAATGCCAGAAACATTATGCCGGCGGTAATACCTTAATAAAGAAACGAAAAATAAATATATGCTTTTGTTAAATTTTAATCTTTTTTTAAAGTAGTTTTTTACCCAAGAAGTAATGTCTGAATGTGTCGGAATCGTAAAGGGAGCAAGCTCCGTGCTTGCCACACACCGTCTTCCATATTAGACACGCCGAGTCGACAACGGCACCATATATAATGGGGCAAGGAACATTACCGAAAAGGCCAATAGCTGACTGTATGATGCCCAAGGCCATGGCTTTATCTGCATAATTTAAAGAAAGGCAAAAATGATGGGACGGTCTTGTATATAGAACTCAAATTGTTTTTACTTAGAACCAATAATTGGCTAAATATTTAAGTCATTAATTTTTACAGTAGTTTGTGTTGTAATTAACTCCTATTAATGTATAGTGAATAGATTAAATTATCAATTAAATCTTCATACTCAAAAATAAATACGATACGTTTTTTGCAATGGCAGCACTAAAAAAAAGCGATTTCTTCACCAGATTCATTGAAAACGTCTTCGTAACTGGCTGATTAGGTTAAGTTGATATGGGGGCTGGCTACCCGTTCGTCAACCATGCATTAAGTTGGTAAAAGTGAGCAAGCGAGGTACATTATTTTTCCCTATATGATTATTCTCGCAAGACTTCAGAACCACACCCTTTAACCTACTGCTCCAAAGTTCGGGGTATTCGCTAAAGAATCACTATAAAGCTTAGGCTCTTCTTGATATCTAAAAGTCGTGCAGAAGTATTTTGACCGTCGACCAGTTTCCTTTCTTCCTTTCGTGCTTGCCTTGTAGAAAATCTCGTGCGCTTCATCTATTCCTGCAGTAATGCAGCACATCGTTTTGCGCAGGCATTCATTTCAATTCTGGTCGCAATCTCCCGGGCATACAGTGTTGACTAGACGTCTTTTGCAAATGCAATGAGAGACAAATGAAACTCTTTTTTTCTACTCATAAGTAATTTAGATTTCGAGCAAACTTTTTTACCAAAATACTATTATTGAACCTCCAACTCGTCTGATAATTTTTTCGCACATTCGGTGTATCGAATTAAGTCTGGCGAAATTGAATACCACGACTCTTAAAACAGACTTATTAATAGCTTTGAATGATACAATTCTATTCTCTAGGTGTACAAGCCCCGTCTCAGAGGACCTCTTCTTAAATTACTGTTTTACCAGTTTCGATGCAAGTATAGGAACACCTTAATCCAAGAAGCACTCCAAAATTATAGATGAAACTACGCTGTACTCAATTGCTTTTTTTTTGTGTATCTCTCCTTTTCATACATTTTGCCGATTTTTCAATTTATTTATTTCTATCTTCATAAAAAATGCTTCTCTTTACCTTCAAAGTTCGCCGAAGCCTATGTTCTTTTTGGGAAACAGATAATAATCAATCGGGGCCAGATCTTGGCTCACCCTATTCAGGGCAGCCGACATAACGCGGGTGTTGTTTTTGCGGAGGCGTGAGAACTCTCCGCACGCATCTTGCGTTGATGTTAGTCATGTCAAGATCATGGTGCATCATTTTAAAAATGGTTGCATCGATGCTACAACTATTGAGTTTACATGCCTGGTAAGGAACTTTATAACGGTACGTCTACATTGATTTTCTACATATTTCCCTTTTCACTTCCGATTATTTTGCTTGGTTGATAATATCTCAAAGACTACTTGTCTGATCAGAATGGAACCTCGTATTTATACTAATTGATCTTCACGATCCTAATCACCCCATACAACTCTCTCATTCCGGGAACATAACAATGCTCGTACATTAAATTTTAGTTTCCATTTCTCATCAGACTATAGGTATTTACACGTATTTTCCCAGTTTTGATACAAAAGATGCTTTACGAATCTGTTGCTTTTGTTTGTCAAGTTCAGTGGAGGCACACTTCGAGCGGTTATTTGTGTACTTAATAGATTAGTTCCGGCTGGACTTTCAGGCAAACGCAACGAAATTATCATATCAAGGCTATTTAATAAATGCTTATACATACATATACGTGTATATACGAATACATACTTGTAGTTAGTTTTACTCACCATTTGGATGTGTGCAACGCATCACAAGCAACATACTGCCCACCTCCGACGTTGAATGCATAAACACACACACGGCAAATATAATAATGAAGAATATGAAATTCTTACAATTATCAGCACAATATCCATTGACCGCCTGGTTCTTAAAAGCTGCAAGAACAGATAAACACGCGCACGCAACAGAAAGTTGGTCAGGGTGGTGGGGTAGAGAGAAGAGAAGAGAAGAAAAATGGGGTAGGTTATGACAGTGACTCCGAGGAAATGGGTAAAAACAAATCATAAAATTGTATATGAGAAAAAGTAAAATGAAATAAAATGCAATAATTAATAAATGCACGAGTACATTTGTATACAGATACGTAAATATGTACATATGTAAGTGTTATATTGTGTAATGTGAAATTAATTGTGCAAATACAATAGCTGCGTTTGTTGAGAAATATCACTAAAAATTAGCAAGTAACGAAATTGAGAGAGTAAGATGTCTTGCTCTCCCATAGATAGAGATTTACTGACTGATTCAATAAAAATTAGCCAGCAAGTTGTACAATAGATGTTTATTTTTACGGTTAATATCGAATCCGCTCCCTTAAACTGTTTATTTTTCCTGCTTTACGAGTATATAGCATTTTAATTATTTATATTCATTGTACAAGGATGAAATTCCGCATGCTTCATAGCCGTCCAACGTTAAAGATACCAATATTTTTTTTTAATAGAAATTTATGTAAAACATGCTTTGGAGCAATTTAGATCGTTTAGATTTTCAGGAAGTATGACTTAAATACGAAAATCAGTTTGAAATTCTTTTTCCGTGTAAGTCGAACATATTAGTTCAACATTATTATAGAGTTTATTTGATTATGTTGAAATAAAAACAAAGAAAGAGCTCTATTTTTCTTTCTAAATGCTACTAATACACGTATGTCTTTTGTGCATCGTCGGCGCTTCCGGAAGCTTAAGAATGGATGCACTATCGTCACTGTGACTGTTGCAACCACCTTGGCTTGCAATTTTCTGTGGCTCTTTGGTCGACACTGCTTTCTAGTAAATTATAGAAATCTAAAATCAACTTGCGTTGTTTTAAAAATAATAGTATATTCTAATTCAATCATATGATCACAAATCAGCTGTTTTTCAAACTTGCTAGTTTTTACTGGCTAAAATTTTCCCATCACGAATTCGCAACTTCCCCTCCGAGCTAAACGTCAAAATTGCGCTCTCTCGTTACTAGTTTTACTGGCTTTTTGGCTCAACGAACACGATTGAGTAAAATTCAGGAAAAATTGTTACTGTCCATTTGTATCTATGAATTCTTTGTTCAAATCTTAACCGAACTAATAGAATTAAAAAAATAGTATTAATCAAAATAATAACGTGATGAAGCCAATACATAAATAAATTTAAATTTGCCCGAAGACCGTATGAAGGTTACATCAAATTGCATTTATTTAAAAGGTTTTTGTGGTTTCAAGCAGAAATGAAAAGAATGTAATTTAATGTTATTATTAGGATAAGACGTTGCCGTTATATTTTACAAATGATTTCGAGCAAGACACAGAATAAATTCTAGACGAAAGGCCTAGTTTTCGAAATTTCACAGAACCCAAGAGGCTGTATGCCAGCAATAACGCGCTGAATATTTTCATCCAAGGTTTCAAGTTTTTCTGCCGAGACAAGCGACTCCATATAACCCCACAAAGAATAGGTCAGAGGTGTGAGATCGTACGAACTTGAAGACCACGTTACAGGACCGCGACGAGAGATGATGCGCTTACAAAATGTTTCCTTCAATAAACTGATTGGCGGTATAGCACGTAGCGCCGTCTGGTTGGAAGCAAAGTTTCTTACAGCGTTCTCCATCGGCAGTTACATTATGACCAACTTCATTTTTGAAGAAATGAGGACCAATAATTTCCACTGCCCAAAGAGCACACCAAACGGTGACTTTTTGATGACAATAGCGTGAGGATTACCATCACTTCTAATCCGACAGTTTGGTTTATTAACGTACCCATTCAATCAAAAGTGAGCTTCTTCGCAGCTCCGATTGTTGCGTGCCATGGTATATGGACTAATTTGGGTCCTTTTCGATACTCTGTTCTTTACAGTAGCAATAGTGTATTTGGTGTGCACTGTATGCCGTCTCTGAGGATGCGAATTATACACTATAGTAAACGTGGTGCGAAACCGATTCATGGTTTGTCGAATTACCCACTCTGCTGGGCGATTAGGTCGACTAATATTGGATGCAGCGGGCGATGTGTCGAGCTAACCGAACCATTATTTTTGGTAATAAATTTGCACGATTTGCAAAGGTTGTTCTCGTGTAAGCCTGTTCATTATGAAATGGCAAACCACACTGAGTACAAAGCAAGTAACAGCTGTCAAAAAAAAAACCAACTTCGGAAAAGGTATAGTCTCATTGAAAGCCACATGTCTAAAAAAAACACCCTTCACCTAAAAGTTGCTTATAACCGTGCCGTGCATGTTTGAGAAATGTGTTAAGGTATGATTGTTAACTTTGAAACTTACAATCTGGAATGCATGTACAGTTATTGAATACAGTGCCATTATCACTTGTCGTCGACGTAGCGCACCCAGCATGACAGGTAGAAATATATATACGTCCATCGAGCCCACAAATGGGCGCAAAATTATCCGTATCACAGGAACAGTTGAGGTTACAGGCTGGTTCAATCAGCGCGGGACTGCAAAGCAATGATTGGAATTTTATTTATCAGCACTACAAAAACTCTACTCTGAGTACTATGCAAAAATTTTAAAATTTTATTTTTTGAAGTGAAAGTTACTCCCCGAATACTACGATCGATCGTCAAAATACTTACGCATTGCTCGAGCCACTTTTATAACCTGCAAAATCGTCCATGCTACAACCAACAAACATCAATACCACCATGCCGGCTGAGTAAAAGAGCGCTGTGAATGCTATCCAAGCGGCAACTGAACGCGCAGATGGGGACAATTTCAATATGACCACCCCGGATATCACAATACCAACACCCATAACGAGAATACCACAAAAGGCGGCGATCATGCTGGCGTTGTAGGTGGTCAGGCGAAATTGAGTCTCGAGGTATTTCGGCAAAAATGTGTAAAGTCCGGCAATCGGTAGTAGATGAAACACACAGGAGGCTGTGCGAAACATTAAAATGTCATTTTTAAGTTGCCGACGCACGGTTTTTGGAAAATCTTAACGGTTTGGAATAAGAAAGAAACAATTAAAGTTTTATTATTAATTAATTTTTTTTTTCAGTAAAAGCAAATTAGCAAACCTCTTAATTTCGGTTTCTCATACACCTCCGCAGCTGCTGTTGTACTTCCTGCCTCGCTGCTATCACCGCTCTTGCCTTCGCCAACGGATCCGGGACCACGCTTGCCACGCAGTTGCTTTGGGAATGAGAACATTGCGATGGATGATAGCAGCATAAGAGTACCAATACCAACTGGTCCCAGCCACCAAGCGCCAATCCAACGTGGATCGCTTGCATCGAAGTCGGGATTTGAGAAATTCACATACCAACGTGTACAAAATGAACCGACTATAAAACCGGAGGCTGGTCCCAGTATACGAACACCAATGGTTATGGCCATGTACATTGGTGACTGTTTACTTGCCACATTATCATCTATATATGGTATGCCCAGCGTGGCAACGGCCGTTTGGCCAATGCCCGAGCTCAAGAGACTAGCGAAGAATATGCATAGTACGATAACGGTGATTTTTGAGTGGGATGCCTGTTCCAATTTTTGATCTTCATCGCATTCTGTCGAAAGAGAAGAGGAAGATTTTAAATAAATTTGTGAAATATCCCTTTTGAGTAATCTTTATAATGAGGGTTAAGGAAGGGGACTTGGTTTTCGGTTATAGGCTTAGTTAGGTTTTACTACCATACATAGACCTGTTTATTCTTTATAACGCCAGAAGTAGTTGTCATGTAGGACGTCAACCCTTTTAATGAAGTCTAAATGTGCCATGATATCTAGTTTTGATACTTCATCTAGTCCTTTGAACTGCAAAGCTTTTAGATGTTTAAGACGAGTTGTAGATGAGGCCAGACAGAGGTAGATGAACTGTACCAACATCACAGTGATACTTTCGCTGCACTTGTTGCATGTGTCATCGTTACTCATGCCCATTCGGCTAGCCTGTGGTGCCAGTAGTTTGTGACCTGCCATAAGGCTAACCACCGCTCTTACATATAATTTTGACGATGTTGAATGTCGTTAAGACATTCCGTCTCAGGATGATCATCTGTCAATCCTTTTGGAAATTTCATTGTGCATAGTTTTTAGCAACTTGCATATTTCCTGTACTGATTCAGAAGCCAGACAGTGGGTATTTTTGGGGCCTGTCGCAGATTTCTTATGCCCTTGCACTTAGATGGAAACTGCAAACAGGTAGTGAGCAGATTCTTCCAAAAAAGTACTCTTATTAATGAAACTATAAATAAGGGGCCGCATTAGTCGAAGTGCTAGGTGCTCCTCTTTCTGATATTAAATGAAAGCTTCAGATATAAATTCATCAGACTTTTGGAGGTTATACCCGCCCCCGCTGTTATCTATGTGTGAAGTTTGCAACACTGAGCAATTGTCGCTCGTTTGTACCCGCTATCTCGTTGAAGTCTCCAAAGGTTGCCGCCCCCAGGTACTTGAACTTACTCTTCCAAGAGATCTGCGGTAATTCTCAGGCGTCCCGGCTATGCCAAAAGATGTGAATGCGATATTATGAGAGCGCCATAGAACTGAAACAATTTAAAGTCTCATGTGTAGCTGTCAACTCCGCATGAAAAGCACTGCAGTGATCCCATAAACGAAAGGACTTGCAAACACCAAGAACACTTGAGTCAACTCCGCCACCTAGTGTTCTAGTTTTGACCCATCCTTATCAGAATGAATGAGGTCTGTGCTCTCTGGTGTTATCCTGTCCCATTGTTCCAGTATATAAAGACAAGTCACATTCTCACGACATCACAACCCTTTTTTTGCAAATTGAGGCACACTTACTCGATATGGGACCGAGAGAGATAATTAAAATGATTTATTAATATATATATGTAACTTGACTCCCTAAACAGGCTAAATAGGGAATTTCCTTCATCAGACTTGCGCTAAAAATGAAATCACAGTAAACTCACCTGTGTTAGAATGTGTTGCATTCCGTCCCGGTATACAGAGATTCATGTCGTGCGCACTCTGTGATGTCGCCAACAACGCACTCAAGCCTCCCTCCAGTGCATTCATGCCGGTCGTATTTGTTGTATCATTAATTCCATGCAATCCATAACTGGCGTGCAGCATTTGACCATGTAAGGCACGCATTGCCGCATTACCACCGCCGTTGCCGCCATTGCTTAATGTATCCAATGATTGCATCAACTGTTTGCCAAAAATGAAATGCGGCAGCGAACAAGCGAAAGCTGCAATGGAGAATAAAACCATGCCACAGGCGATCCAACGCGGCCGATGACCACGTCCCGCAAAGTAGGTTAACAGCATAGTCGTACTGATTTGACCCATCTCACTGGCGCTCAGAAGGAAACCCGTTGTTTTAGATTTTATCTGAAATAGTTTCTCGATGGTAGTGATCACCGACACAAAATATGTCATATACATGCCCTGGAGTATGTAGGCGAGCAGAAAGACAACCATAAAAACATTTGTCGATGCAAAGTTACGTGCCCATTTTGGCCGACAGCCAAATAGACCACAATCTGGCGCCTGCCGGTCGGCGTTACTAAGTTCGGAATCTGTGTCCGATTCATCGGTTTCACGCGTACGTGTATTTTTCTGTGTATATAGGCCTGTTAGGGGATCTTGCTCATCATATTTATCTGGTACGCCCAAGCCAATGCCATTTTTTCCATTCATTAACGAACCATTATTGTTACCCTGATGATGATTGACTGGATAGTGTAGTAGTCCATTTTTGAGGTTATTTATTTGTTCGGCATCCTTCCATTCGTTGTTATTGCTCGTCGTTGATGTGCCATATAATACAGTGGTGGGATCAGTAAGTGTTTCGTTCGCCTCTTGCGCTGCCAAACGGTTGCCATCGTCAACGCCATTAATACTTGCTGCTGTGCCAAGCAAACTATTATCAGGTGCACCATCACCGGCGCCAATACCAGGAGGACTGCCATTACCATTGCTGTTGCTTAGTGTGGCGGTGCCGTTGCCGTTGCCATTACCATTGGACAGCAATGGAGTCCAGGCTTGTGAGGAGTCACGACGTGTACCATTTTGATAACCGTTCGTGCCGTTGGAGGTATTGCCGTTGCCATTGTGTAACGGTGTAACACTCAAACTGGCATCACCATTTGAGCCTTGATGTTTGTAGGGTGAACTAGTTGTAATCACAGGGAGATTACTGGTTGTGTTTGCTTTTATTTGACGCTGTGGCGATTGATAACTGATCATTTGTGAATTTGCCGTGCTCTCGACATCGTTGCCATTCGCTGTGGGATTCATAGTAAATGTCACTGGTTTTGTTGTTGGTGTGTGGGAAAAAGGGTACTTCTGGCAGCGTTGGGTTGTCTGGCCTTGGAAAGGGTTTGAACAGAAAACGGTTATTGGTTTGGGATTTGTGTTTGTTATATTGTGTGGGTTTTACGAGGTGTCCACAGAGTATTCATCCATATTAGTTTTGATGTTTACTTGATGACACTGGAGTACCTCTGTTATTGGAATTGCTTTGTTTTGATTCAATTTGTGCTTCTTGTATTTTATTGTATTTTGTTGGATAAAAACGATGGCGACTGTTTTTGTGTTTTTGATAATCTTTATCGGCTGTATGTAATATTTTGTAGCTTGAACGAGGTAGTTTCGTAGTTGAAGGTTGTAAAGTTTGCAGCTTCTGTATTTTATATGGCAGTGTCTGAAATGAGGAAAATATTTATTGGGGTTAGATTTATGTGAGACCATAAACTGGAGTGCATAGTAGTATCAGTTCTTCAATAATTTAGTTTCTATTTTACGGGTCTTGAGAAAAAAAAATAATTTTAAAGCAACAACTATAGCTCAATCCTCGATGTTATAGTATTTGCAGGCTTTCATCTTAACAGCGAAGAAAGATGTTGATTAGCTTTTTGAATATGGCTATCCGAAAGTGTCTATAAGTTGTCCCGTTCAGCGGTTGTTTTAAAGGATGCAGGCTGTAAATAGAACTGTTTTGACGAGTTTATGAGCAAATCCACACCTTAGAAGGACACAAGACATGGTACCTAAGAGGAGGAATTCATCTTTCGATCTGTCATATATATATATATATATATATATGGCGCTTTGTAGCCGCTGAAGAGATTTTTGGCTGAGCTCCTCCTGCATGAGAATACACGTACGTGTACATGTATGTATGTACTTTTATTCAGCAGCATACATACATATCTTCTATAATTACGTCGTTAAAATAATGCAATCATTTCTATACTATGCCAAATTACACTACATTTATATGCACATACGTACATACATATATATTGTACATACACGCATACACAGATATTTATGTACAAAATACAATATAAAGATAGCGCCATCATACGGTATTTAGCAGGTGAGGCAACTGAACCATTTGAAGGTTAATAGATAAGAAATGGCAATTTGAAATCCGAACTACAACAGCACACACACGTATTCGGTGCTGCACTCGGCCAAATATTTGTATGTGTGTGTAATTATATTTACACGTATGTAAGTATATGTGAATTTTGCAATCATGTAAATAAATTCCACTTTCATTTTCAACTCAAATGATAAATAAATTGAATTTATTTATATTTCATTTTTGTTTTCTTTTTCACTATCTTTATTGCACTGAAAAGCTTTGCCTGTTGTTGGCTTTCAGTTATCACGGCGATTTCACTTTCAATACAATTGCGACCTTGAAAATTTCGAAACTATTTCGAACTATTTATAACTAATTATTTATGTATTTATTTCTATATTTATACACACTTATATACAACTAGTTCTGATATTCATACTTGTATGTACATACGTGTATGTATAACATACCCAAATATTTGGGTTGCTATGACAAGTGGTTTGCGTACGCCACAAATGTAGGTAACTAGGTGACTTGAATTGTTATCAAAATGATTTTTTTTATTGTTGTAGATAAGTATTAAGATTAACACGTTTCTTATATTTTCACTATTATTTTTTGGCAATATTGCATTGTTGCTGCACCGATCAGACAGACGTCCGTTGATATTGAAGGCAAATCATTGACTAAATGCTTTTACATTAACCGCTAAAAATGCAGAAACGCAATCAAAATCCCTACAGTGAAATGATTTGGGAAAGGGGCGAGGGCGGTTGGAAAAGGAACAATATTTTGACAAAAAATTCCACATTTTCCAAACTGAAAAAAACTGATATACTCATTTGAATTGGTATTAGTACAACCATATGTATATGTATTTATGTACATATGTATTTATATATAAACATTTTATCAGTGCAGTGCAGCCATTTTAGGCAGCAGTCACAACCACATACGCAACCACATTCAAAGTCAATATTGATACAGCTTGCAAAAACTGATAAACAAGATTGGTTAGTAAACAATAAAAAAGATGAATTTTTTATACATTTATACCGACGTTCGTACATACTACATTTATGTGTACTACTTTTTTTTTTTTATTTTGTACCTACATATGGAGGAATCACATAATTTTTATAAACAAGTATTTATGGGTACACCAAAACTTTGTGAAATACCAGTAAGCGTAAATTTCAGAAGCAAATTCAATGTCAGGGCAATAATTGTTGTAGCCGCAGCGCACAGTGTTGTGATTATTGGAAAAAATTAACATTTTAAAAAGGGAAATAGAAGAAAATTGAAAACAATAAAACATATATAAAAAAGGAGGATGGAATGAAATAAAATAAAGTAAAATAAAAAAAAATGAAAAATAAAATAAAATAAAATAAAATAAAATAAAATAAAATAAAATAAAATAAAATAAAATAAAATAAAATAAAATAAAATAAAATAAAATAAAATAAAATCTAATAAAATGAAGCAAGATAAAGAAAATAATATACTACCAAGTAAAATAAATAAGGTATAATGCAATTTAATAAATTAAAAGAAGTAAATGATTAAAATTTCTCATGTGACTCTGACAAGTCGTATGTCTTTTCTGTAATATATGAAGAGCCCGCAATGCCCATTTTTTGCTAAATCAAGCCACGTGAACTATTTATGGTCACAGGTCTTAAGGAATAGTGCCACAGTGCGACGGTGTGATATCCACGTCGCTTCTAAATTTTTTTATATTAATTTTTTTTTTAATATTTGTGAATAGTTAATGAGCCAGAGAGAAGGCAAAAACAACAAATTATATTTGATTGTTTTGACAAAAAAAAAAAAAATATTTTTAAAGTTTAGTTGTATGTCTGTTAAATAAATTAGTCGATTTCGTTTTTAATTTATTTGATTTATTTATTTATTTATTTTGTTTGGTTTCGTTAAGCCGGTTTTCGATTTTTTTAACTAAATTAGTTTTTAATAATGTTATTTTAAGACGGGCATTACGTGGTTGGCCAAGTCGAGAGTTTGTATATTTTATAGCCCAACCTAATAGAAGTTTCAAGTGGTGTCTAGGCATGCAGTAATTGCTGCTGGAATTAATTTAAACGATAGAAGTTATTTATATATACATATGTATATATGTGTATACGTGGAAATGTATTTACTAGAGTGCATATAGAAGTATAAGACTGTGTGTGTCTGTTTTTTTTTGTTGATAATTCGTTTTTCGTTATCAAAGGTCACCATGCAAACAAAATATTTTTTCTTACTTATGATTGGTTGTGCGGATGTACATACTCGTATGTTTCTATGTATGTATGTGTATTGCAATTTTATGATGTGACAAGAAAGTGCTTTGCTACGACAACATTATGTGCGGATATGTGTATGTATACGTTGCGTATTTTATGCACTCATTTGTACTTGAAATGGGATTTTTTAATATCTATTAATTTGCGCAAGCGAATTGAAATTAAGAAATGTTTAAAAATTTAGTTGCTGGCAAATAATACGTTAAGAAATTTTAGGGTAACTTTGCACAATTGTACAGAACCATTTTTTTAAATGTTTATTTGTTCTTACAGAATCTTAATTTTTATAGCCATAACTGCAACTATTTTATATTTTTTCCGTGATCACGCTGAAAATATTAATTATTTTTCAATTTTATTTCGAGGCTAAATAATATTTAGCTCTAACTACATCGTAAGTGCGAGGCAAAGTATTTACATATGTACGTTTCAATAAGAAATGAAATGGAAAGCCCAAAAAAAATAAATAATTATTTATAAATAAAATGAAAACAGTTGTAATAATATAATAATTAATTTTAGAGAAGTTCAATGTATGTACGTATGTAAAAAATATTTCCTTTTGAGCAAAAAAAAACAATAACCAATATTTTTGCCGTAAATGTATTTTTAAAATCAACATATTTATTATAACATTGTACTTACATATATTACTGCGCGTCTCTGCATACTTTTACTACAAATTGAGGGTCCCAAAACATTTTAACGGCTGCCGAACGACCAACGGTTATTCGCGAACAGCTTTAATTTTCATGTCAGATATTTATAAACCGAAAGGAATTGACGTTCCCAGACCTGTGTTCTCAATTTTAAACTAAAGGTAAAGAAGCAACTTAGCAATATTTTTTATAGAAATTTATTCTTTATGAGGCTTGCAAATTTACACAAAAATCGATAAAATTTCCAAATAAAAAACTTAGAACCTAAATGTGGTCCCAAATATGTTGACCTCGTATTTCGTTTTCTGTTATAATTGAGCATTTATAAAGGAGAAAGTTATCATAATAACTTTTCTAAAATTCATGCGGAATTTCGAATAAAAGATAGTCCTTTTGTTATAGTTTTCTGCACTTTCCGTGTAATATTTGCTTTCAAAATATTTTATGGAGATTCGACAAACACTTTTCAAGTTATTGGACAATTGATACAGGGCTCTTGTACTTTCCAGAACGATCATGTAAAACGTTATGTAATTTTTCTTGAAACTGTTTTTTCAGCAAATTTCAATGAAAGTTATACAGTTTTCAGATATTCTAAACCATTAGCTGTTTGAGTTTTTTCACAAAAATCTGAAAAAAGACTCTATCAGGCACTAGACTATCTATTTAAATACCAATTTTTTTTTGGTTGTTCGATTGATTTCAGATGAGTCTCCAAAGAGTTATGATGGTCACTGTGCTGGTCATTTCGTATGGCACTGAATTAATACTTAAATATTTTTCTTTCCGAAATCTCGTAAAGGCAAGTCGAAAAATTGCGTAATGGCATTATTACTTTTGCAAAATTATTTGGGAAAAATATGGATATTTCTCACTTCATCGCTCTCTCTCTCTGTTTTTGTTTGTGTTCGCACATATACCGATAAATAAAATAGTTTTATGAACACAATTTTTACTAAATAAAATAAATAAAAATTCATTAAAGGTATAAAATCTAAAGGCACTCAAAAACGAACAGCGCATATGTGAGAGTAAAAGAAAAAGCGAAAATAAGAGAAGTCTATAATAAGCAAAGTTCCTTGACATTCCGTGCTGATGCAACAATCGCAGCGTCAACAACAACAAATGCTTAAAAGAAAAAGTTTTGCATGCAAATATATGTAGATATTTATGTACCCACACATCAACAAGAGGTAAGGCGATATCATAGCAAAGTAAGGCCTCCTAATTTCCTTTCAAATATCACTGCGAGTAAGGGAACTGTTCATGTGTGTTTTATCTTGATTATTGCAATCTTACTGCTTTACTTGTATTGTAATAACACTGCAAGCTAAGATAGTTGTTGCTTTGCTTGCTTATTGGT